TGTACCAGTATAGTATGTCATTTCACGTACAGTATACGTCACTAACAAATAGAGCTCAGTACTATGATCTGACCAGTTACCTCTCTGTTGGATGGAGCTGTCCCACGCTTCTCACTAGTCCCTGATCTGTCCTCTCTTAGCCTCTCATTTCATACCACACCTGTCCCACACAACTGTTGAAATGCCCCAGCTTTTGCCTTGATTGTGAATTTTTAACTATGTTTAGATTATGCATAAAAGATGTTTTTTATGTGCCACTGGATGACTGGGGTGGTCAGTTAAATCATAATTTGTCTCCATTGGGTTAGTATGTCAAGTGCTTGGCATATCTGACTGCTTGTCCACTTTGTTTTTCCAATTAGGGGTAAAGTCCTAAGTTCTGTAGTACTGAACATACATATGAAGGTCAACACTGTTGAGTGAATGAATAACAGTGAAAGAAGAGAGAGTCTGTGTTTGCTCTTGATCCCAGCCACCCTGTAAAGTAAGTGAGTCAGGGACTTGCAAGAAGTGAGGCAATATATTACACTGTAAAAGCTTCAAGAATGGTAAAATATTGTGATAAAATGAATGTTGGTCTTTGAAGTTGATTATACAATGTGTTATAGGATGATCAGGTCAACTATATTTCACATTTAGAATCATGTACGGTATATTTTTCAAGGATAGACAGCCAATTAAAAGTTAAGTTCTGATGTCTCCAAGGCAAGTTATATCTCACTGTATTTTTTTATGTAATTTGTTCAGAAGTTCTAGTATTATTTCAATAATTGTTTTTAAAAATAATCTAGTACGTATTGTATTGTACAGTGGTTGTCATTGGAAATTGTCTGAATAGGTGATTTATAGAAAGACATTCGGAAAGAGATTGTTGATGGCCTTCCTGTTGACTGACAATATTTTAACACAGGTAAGTCGTTGTAAGATTGAAAATGATGCATACTTTCAAGATAAGTTTTCCAGGGTCTCCTTGTTTTATGAGGAGGACATGAGGCCTGAGGAGTGTTACAGTATACAGTTATGTTGGAGCTTGAGCTAATTTTTTATCATATTAATGTTACAGTATTTCAATTGATGGGCAAATAATATATCTTCCCTAAATTTTGTGATTCATTATTGATACTGTATACATTTTGTAGCCAGGTGTTGGTAATGATATTGCTCCAAGGTTTTCATTCTATACCTCTCTAGTGTTTTTCTGATGCAGTTTCAATGTTTTGTTCAACTTCCAACACATTCTTAACTTTTATAAGGTATTATTGATAACTTTCGATTTAGCAGACTCTCCCTTGCTCTGTTCATTGATTTGAGAGAGATAACAGGCATAATATGCTCCTCACCCACAGACTGGCCAATGTAGTGTCATGACCCATTTTAAGTACTAAAACTGCTTAAAACTTTTCCTGAAGTTCAGTGTTCCATTGTATTTGTGTGTTATAGAAAATAAATAGTTGTGATATGCATCTGCTGTAAGATGTAAAGCAATTAAAATGTGGATGAAATGGGATACTAAGCTGATGAGATAGAAGCTGCTTCTTGTCTTCATTTTATGTGAGGGAATTGCCATCTCTCTATACTCAGTAGTCCTTCCTTGTCAGTAAGCTTTACAAATAAAACTGAAGGGTTTATATATAATTTTCATATAGTAATACAGTATTAATATCACAGAATTTTAAAAGCTTTAGTAAGGGAATAACTTTACTGTACGGTAGTAAGTATTAAAGAACAAAGCTGATCTCAGAAGCAGCTCATTGCCCTTTGTTGTGTTTAAGATGTGAATGTACAGGTGATTGATGTTGTGTCAGCTAAGCTATGGTCTTGACTTCATTGACACCTTGCAATAGCTAGAATATATGGTGTTATATACAAGTTGCTATCTTTCCACCTAACATCTGTCTCCCACTTGAAATATTTTGCTTCCCCTAAACTATTGTGAATATGTGTTGAAGCTGACCAAAAGATTGAAATTTGTATACAGAATGCTTTAACCTCTTTCTCTGTTAATTTGTCTGTTTGATATATGAACTCTGTCCCTATGTTTTATGATCATCCTTTCCCTATATTTCTCACAAATGTTTTCAGGATAATGATAGTATCATTTTTGCTTTTGATTAGCCGGCTTTATAAGTCATGGCACTTGCGGTAAGTCTTAATTATGGAAGGAAGTCTGCCCCACCACTTAATCAAAATACAGTACCACATATATAATACTAATTGAAGAAGGCTGCAGAACTTGGCTTAATGGTATACGTTACCCCTAACCTTGGATGCTTTCTTGCTTTAGATCGTAGTGTCAAGATTGAGGTGACTAGCAGGCTACAATGTGTATGTTGCACTACTATACTAATTTGGTCTTAAATCACACCTATAAGGAAGCTGTAAATAATGGTCATTAAAAGAATTGTGTCGACAAGTGAAACTCGCTTATTGTTCTGAAGTTTCTGTCACTGCTTCTTGTGTGAGTGCAAAACTGTGATATATTTGGATGCCCTATTCAGGGATGAGAATATTTTAACATCAGACTTATATGAATTTTGGAAAATACACAAAATTTTGCTGTTTTTAAAAATCTACCCAAAGACTGGTGCAGGTAATTCAACTAAATTATTATTATTATTATAGATGCTATATTTTAATGGATTGCTGTACAGTACAATGTTTGTTCTTTTACCATTTTACAGACATGTACAAAATCTGTCAGAAACATTCCTTTGATGACTCCTTATAAAAATTGTTTGACTTAGCCCTTAAGTGATTCAAGATGATCATTGTTACTGAAAATAAATGCATGTTTATATGATTAAGGAGAGAGTGTGTGAGTGGATATATGTGTATACATATTCACTTCACTTTATTTATGTTACTTTAGAGTTACAGTTCCTTTACGTACATGATCTATGGTTTGGTGATCAAGTCCATCATGTACTTCATGGCGCTGCATTTTCACTTATTAGAAAGAACTAATTTCCAGGAAGAGAGAAACAAGGAGGAGCAGGAGGATATAGAGTGAGAAAATAGATTGTATGTGTGTGGATGGCAAGAATCAAGGCTGAATTGAGCATTTTTTCCCCTCGTGCCGTCTGGTTATATTGGTATGGCGTTTATTGTACCTCGTTAAGATATTCTCATTCCTGTATTTCTCTTTTTTATGTACTTGATGTATTCACCAAGCATCATCTAGTGCTGTGTTTTGTAATTTATTGTTATTATTATTATTAATTTGTATTTTAAGTTTACTTTTTTGAGTGTGTGAAATATTGTGATTATTTTTGCATATAGTACTGTCTTTTATTTTTTATTTAGTTTTATTATTTTTTTTTTTTTTTTTACAAGTGTACATTGGTCTTCTTTTATTTTCTTTATGGAGTTACTCCCTTTATTATAAATGAAAAATTATAAATGAAGAAAAATTAAGAGATATGAAATAGTAATAAGTCAGAATAATACATTCATTACTTACTTTTAGGCTGGATGCTTTTGTACCGTGAATTATGTTTTCTAGAGTACACATACTGTACCCTAGAGCAACACAGTTCATGTTATACAGGTACATTACCAGCCTTCCTAAGCCAAGGTTAGCTGTATGCTACAATGGCTTACCTGTCTGTATTCATCCTTTCACATGTATTTGTGTCAGTCATCATTATTTGTGGATTTTTGTTGTGTGAGGTCCAGGCCTGGGACAAATGGGGTTGATGTGATGATGCAGGGTGGATCATGACCATATATCGTAGGAAGTTGTGGACAGTATATGGTGTTGGAAGCAGGACTGTATGCTAAGTGTTACCACTCCAGTGTTCCTGGGAGATCTGATATGCTTGAACAGTACTGTATTTGATTTTCATAATATAATCATCATGAACCTTGAGAGGATCTTGCGCTAGGTTGGGAACATTAGTCTTGACAATGAAGTCCATTTTTGGTTGGGAATTTCAGTAAGCTAGCCATTTATACAGCATCCCCCAAGCTAGAAGGACCTGACAACCGTCTGCTCAAGCCATGTGTAAGAGTTTGAAATGTTTGCACCAGTAGTGCTCTGAGCTTTGTATTAGTGATGCATGCTTTGCTGCTTCAGGTACCAATTGCCAAAATGCCTGGTAAGCTGATAAATGGTAGAGAAAGAGAGAGAGAGAGCCTGTGTAAACACATTTTAGATAGGGTCATACTGGATAACACCTAACTTGCATCAGACCTGGGGAATTGAACCCAAGATACAGTGATGAATGGCAAGCATGCTATCACTCTAAACTCGCTTCTCTTCACTCTATGTGTATACTGTACTGTACTTGTTTATTATTCATGTTTTACCGAGATTGAATATTGAGCTTTTTGCAGCTGTAGGGTGAAGACGACGGTGGGAGTGCCGACAGGAACCATTGTTCACTAACTGTTTTGCAGATAGTTGAGTTGTCGAAGTGTCTAGATAAAGCTTCCTCAGTGCATTATTTGATGCAGGAGTATGGTAGTGTAAAGTGTAACTTACTTAAAGTGAACACAGTTACTCATTGTGTATTATTGGATCTTCATTTGTCACATTGTGGATTAAATTTGTAATCCTTTTTAAAATTCATTGACTGAATATAGTTTAGTGTTGTTGTTTATGTTAAAGTCTTGTGTGCTAACTTGTCTTTATTTATTTGTTTGTTTCTTTGGCTGGTTTGTTTGTACGTGGTTTATCTGTTTGTTGATTATTTGCTACACACTTTACTGTACTTTATTTGTCTCTTTTCTTTCTGCTCAGTATTTAGTACAACTACAAAAGATATTCATAGAAATTTGACTATACAGTATATATACCTTATATATACTGTATATAGTTACTTGTGAATTCTTTATTAGGTCCTATAAGAGGTTTGGAACTTTCTTCTAGTAATAATTCTTGTTTTGGAGATGATCTTTTTTTTTTTTGCGAAATTAATTGTGTATGTCTTCAAGGTCACATGTCAACTTCTTATTTTTATTAGTCATTAAAGGTTACTAAAGATTGTCCCCATTTCCAGTCGCTTACGGAAAACCCGGCACAGTCGGTCTCGTTCACGTTGCCACGGCCCTCGGCACCAGAAGAACCTCAAGACAGTGAAGGCGCTGGCCCAGAGGACTCAATCACTCACACTACAGGTTTGTTGCTCGACTCCATTGTTTAATTTCTTGTATTTAGGAATTATGAGATAGGGTGAATCTGTGTTTGCTCTGATTTCCAACTAAGTATACGTACTTGCATATTAATGGGTAAAGATTTGATAAAAACAAGTTACCTTTAATATATATCTCATCTTCAATTTCTCATTATATATTCAGAATGAAGATTAAAGGGGATGCCACTTTTGATATTTAGCTGATTCTGGATGATTGTATTCAACTCAGAGGGGTTGCTCATACACAAGGGGTTAAACACTCCTTTGTTGAGTGTGGATGTTTTTAAAAGTCCCATAATCGTACTAATTATTTATTGCAGGGTCGACTACCTGGATCGCGTAAGCCGCCACACACAGTTACAGGACAGTTCCACCTGTCTCTCCAGACACTCATGGAAGCTCTCAACACTGCCAACCCATTTTTCATTAGATGCATCAAGAGTAATGCAAACAAGGTACTGTAAAAATTAATTGGAAAAAATAATATCTGAGGTTCATGCTTTCCGAAATGTTCATTTTTATTGACATTTCTTAAACTTAAATGAAAAAGAAATGTTTGGAATTTTTAGGTAGCCATAATTGTAAAAGATGTACCCGTAATTGGTTATCTTAGGATTTTCATATACGTACTGTACAGTAGTTCACAACACTGTATCCCAGGACTTTGTATGTGAGAAGAGAAGACTTGAAGTAGTATCAGTAAAGCAGATAAATCATATTGTAATGTAATGTAATGTAATTTAATTTATTCCTTATTGCTTACAGGAACCAAATGTCTTTGGAGATGAAATGGTAATGCGGCAACTGAGATATACAGGCATGTTGGAAACTGTTCGGATAAGACAGGCTGGCTTCAATGTTCGACTCTCCTACGAAGAATTCATACATCATTACAGAATACTCCTACCCAAGGGTTTATTAAGGTACTGCTGTAAACCTTTTACATGTTGTTACTTTATTAAAGAGAATGTGTAGTATTTTACTTCTGCAATATATTTTATCTTTCTCAATGAATAGTAGCCAGGAAAAAAATTAAAGTAGAAAGTCAGAAAATAAACCAAGGTTACTGTGTACTGCAGTATAAACAAAGCAAACTAAACACTGAATTTAATAATACAAAATCAGGGTTGGTGGTAATGGCCATCAGAAAAAATTATTGCAATCCCTGTCTTTATAGATATCTAGAGAACTCAACTTTTGGACATGTTCTTGAAAACGTCAATGACCTTGTCATGGTTAATGGAGATGTCCTTCTCTGTTGCCAACAGCATGAGATCTGACAGCCTAATTTCCTTGCAGAGACTGTGAAGCTTTGGCTTGATTAATTTCAGTTTTGTTGAGGATTGCTCCTCTGTGGCAGTAGATGATGGCAGGGTTGCATAGATTTTGAACAACTCAAAAGAAAGTTGGAAAATCAAAGCTGAGACTGTACCTACATGCACTTCAACGTTGTCTTGGTATCATTTTGGGGGCACTGATATGCCAGATTTGTTAATGAAGGAAAAACACAAGTTTACATGCTTTACACCATTTCCTAAGGTTATTCACATTTTTGTGTAATTCATTCTTAATCTTAAGGGTTTTGAAGAAAATGTATCATTATGGAATTAATTCATTCCCAAACATCTTTGGAAAAATGGAATTAATTTTACTGTACTAAATGTCCTATGTCATTGAATGAACTCTAATGTATATCTGTTTTGTAAAATTCTTTTGTTAATAGTTCACAGGCAGATGTACGATCGTTCCTGCAGGGAATGCAGTTGATTGAAACTGAATACCAGATGGGGAACACAAAAATCTTCATGCGAGAATCACAGAAACAGAAACTGGACTCACAACTCCACCAGACTATTTTGTCCCGTATTATTGTCATCCAACGATGGTACCGGACCATCCACCAACGCCGACACTTTTTAACATTCAGAGCGGCTGTTGTCAGGATTCAGGTGAGTCAAGATTTTAGTGGTCAGGTTAGCTTTTAGAATGTTGAATGTGATTTGCCTAGTTATGCTCTTTTGTATTTTGAGAATTAGATTAATTATAGTCCAGTATTTTTATATTAAAAAAAGTAATAGCAGCTTCAAAAACATGGAAGTATCTTCCATAGAAAATTGTAGTGTTGTTTGATCTTTATTGTTATAAGGTAAGTAATGTAGTTCATTAGTTGGTTCAACATAAAGAAAAGATTATAAGGGTGCTTATTTTTTAATGGATTAGGAGCAGGTGTGGGTGATTAAGATTCAAAAGCATTGTTCACAAATATAAATAGAAGTGCTCTACATACTTAGCTGTAAAGATGGATTTAATGTTTATTTCACATACGTATGGTTGATGCCTTAACATAGTAATGAATAGAAATGTATCTTGTAACAATGCAACTGGATAGAAAATAAGTAATATACTGTATGTATAGAGGAATGTGTACAATAGTGATGATCTTTGGTGTGACAGATGTGGAGTAAACAGTATTATTTAGCGGGAAAACTAATAAAATGTTGATAGTGATTAACTGTCAGCAAAACATTGTAGAATTTTACTACTATTTTGTTGCAATGAATTTGTGTTTTCTCTTAAAGTGTAAGGCTCGATGTTGGATTGCACAGCAGCTGTTAGCCAAAATGCGTATAAAACACAATGCTGCAACATTTATCCAGAAAATGTGGCGTGGACACCGTGTACGAAAGTGGTATCAGAATTTCCGCAGAGCTCTTATAATATTCCAGGTATGTAACATGATTTGACACTTGCTGTCTACAGAGAGATGATGATTGTTATCTATTAATGAAATTACATTACAGTTACTGTTTATTTGTATGTTGATAACTAGCGTCACTGTGCGGTGTCTTGTGTTAAACGCTACTCACTTTCAGTCTTGTGTCCGAGGAGAGCAGTCTCGTCAGAGGTACCAAGTGCTGCTCGAGGAATGGAAAAGACAGAAGAGCAGAGGCGAGATAAAAAAACTAAGAGAAGAGGAAGAAACATCAATCACCTCAATAACTACTGCTGGCTCCACTATCTCAGTAACTGTGGAAATTATTGAGCCAGCCCAGCCCCCTCCCAGAAGAAAATTAAATGTCCAGGTGGGTTTACTGTTCTTGTCATGTTAGGCTGTAGCAGTAGCAGGGGTGCCATGATGTGTCAAAATAACTGTGGCAGTAGTGGTGGCTAGTAACACCATTCAATATCATAGTCTGTATATGAAATAATTAAGTAATTAAATAGTAAAAGTATACAGGAATGAATAAGAGACAAACATTGTCCATTGTAGGTCTTGATCTTTTACAAGTTTATCAGTCACTCAGTACAGTAAGATGTGAGAATTTTTTGAGAAACTTTTCTACGAGTCTCTTAACTTTTTTTATTTTGTTTAGAGTTTGTTTATGACTTTAATTTCTCAGAATGCTCAGGGCCATAAGCTTCACAGAAGACAAAGTGAGCAAATACTTAGTGAGAGAAGAACATCAGAGGAGCCACAGTTACTTATTCAGAATTTGGGTAGACGGATGAGTGAAACAAACGTGCCATTAAGGAGGTCATCTCATGGGAGCACAATCATTCAGGTATCTTGATATTCTGTCACAACGTATAAACTTTTTAAGTCTTAAGGTTGTAGAATCTCAGGGGCTATAAATACTTGAAACTAATTAAACAAGTACCTGGTCACTGATGAAACTAAACCCTGAAGTCTTCAAGGAGTATAATGCTTTATCCTCGACAGTTGAATTACTGGACTGATGAGGAACACATAAATGACATCATACATAAATTATACTATTATACTCCTCGATAAATCACTCAAAGTGTTGATGGCCGTGGGTGGTCAAGTGGTGTATGGCCTGTCCCGGCTCTAACGTCGGTACAGACGGTGTTGTCACGTATGAATTTTCCTTAATTATAAATATCATGATTTCACAAGATAAATACAAAATTCTATATCCCATACACAATATATTGACCACAGAAGTGCAGCAACAAAATATTAAACAAAGCTAAATATATACAACCATAGAAATTTGTAACAAGATTGCACAACTGGCATCAACTATTCACCCAGGAATACACAGGACTTTTTTCATTAATTTACAAATAACCTTAATAATTAATACAGTTTTAATACAAATTAATTATATCTGTTATTTATATTAGTCAATTTTAATAGAACTCTTAATATTACGCTTTTCACACTTATGTTTTATCACAATGTTTGACACCATTTATCATTGAGGAAAACTATTGTAATTTACTAATGTTTTATTTTTAATTTTTGTGGTAATAAGTGTACCTGCAATATGAAGTATGGCATTGTATCATTTACTTTTAGTAGTACAGTTCTGTAATAAATGATGTATAATAATGTAATATCATCTTACTCACTTCTTGAAACAGGTACATGCTAGACAGAGTGATGAGAGCCAGGGTATGCCATCTCCTCCAGCTTCACCAGGTATAGTAGAAGAAGATAAACCAGTACATAAACCTAGATCCTTCAGACACCGTCAGTACAACAAAGTTCCTCTCGCCAATCAGACTGCAGCTACTCCATCAGGTACGAAGCAGTGTACAGTCACGAGCAATAGTCGCGTGCCACACTCCCCGCACATTATACAGTTGGTGTGTGGTAGAACCTCTCCTCTATACTCCTCAAGTAATTTTAGGAGTAACAAGAGCTCCATAAACATCTCCCTGTCATGTGAATATGTGAGGAGAGAATGTCACATGACTACTGCTCATGACTGTACAGTACACTGAAATGTGAAAGTGGGTCCCATAGGCATGACTGCCCATTATGGACAGTGTAGCCACAGCACACTGTATACTAAGCCTTCGGCTCACAAGGAGGCAGCATGGCCGGTACTGTTCTTGACCACCTTTTCTTCCCCAAGTTGTGAACTTAGGTACCCATTTATAACTGGGTGAACTGGAAGTGCCCAAGAGAGAAACCACTGTTTTTGTCATATTGTAGCTCAATAAATGTATTGTACAATGGAAACCATCTACAGCTAAATATTTACCTTATATCTTGATCAGTTAAATAGTGGACAATTCATAATGCCATTAATGAAATGATTTTGTATAACTTTTGGAAAACAAGCATGGAACAAATAGGTAATTCTGGACCTCAAGTTATGATTGAGGGAATTCCTAATACAGTATTGGATTAGGACTACAGCACCACCATTAAATAGGTGAGAAGGAGGTTCAATAGTGTCTTTTAATTGATCCAAGAGATGCCCATGGGAATGATACTATTCAAAAGCATTTTAGGTTTTCCTAGCTTTTAGTGTAAGAGAGGTTCAATACAAAATCAAGGTACTTCTTAAAGGTTGACTGTGGCTCTTAACCTTTGTATAGCAGGTAAGGATTCCCTAATTGGCCACATATGCTTAAAAACTGGAATTTAAGGAACATTAACATCCATTGATGTTGGCACCTGTTTAAGGTTACAGGGGTGTACAGGCTTTAGAAGCAGTAAGGAGTTTGCTATCTGATATTTTTTAGGCCCATCTTTAAGGACAGTCAGGAAGAAAGAGTGAGTCACAATTTTAATTCCTTTACTAAAAGTGCAAATTAGATACATTTTGTTTCTAAAACTCTAACACTTCATATTATCTGAGGATTACTGTACTAAGGGATATGGTTACTAAGTGGATACAGTGCTCGCCTCCAGTCCTAATGGTCACTGGTTCGATCCCAGGGCATCCCCAGTCCACCCAGCTGTAAATGGGTACCTCACTCTGTAGTTGTGGAGTGCTTGCCTCCTTGTATACCAAAGCCTTTATAATGATTGTCCTGTATCCACACTGTTCCTAATGTGCACTCAGGCCTATGGGACTCACTTTTACTCATCACTGTGTTGATTGGTTTTTATGAGGTTGTACCTAACCCCCTAGAATAATCTTAAAGAAGTGTTGCAGGGTTGTGGTAATTTTAGAATATGGAAAGATTTTTCTTCATAATCATTTTGCTCACTTGATTTTTTTTCTGTATTAATTTGGGAATGATTTTCAGTGTAAGAATTAATGTATCTTTAATTTAGAGAACATATAGCATGTATCAAGAAATGGTGAAAGAATGTAGTTTAAAATGAAAGTAGATACACATATTATTAACCTTTGAGGACGGTGATGGTTAAGTTACTAACTCTGCTTCACCGTCAGCCCCTGGATGTGCTAACCAGTGATGCTACACTCCATGTATATTGATAGTTCATATTACCATACAACAGCAATGGTTAAAAGTTGATTTATTTTGAATAGTGAGAAGTGTTTGCATTTCCTTTTAGCTTCTGCCGAGAGTTTGAGCTCCAACCAGCTGGAGAGAAAACACAGCAGTGGGGGTGAGGATGACAGTGCCAAGCTGCAGCACCAACAACCTTCTCCTGCAGATTCTCATAGCATGCTCAAGTTTTCTAGACAGTTTAAAAAACCTTTCAAGAAGAAAATGGGTAAGGTTGGCTCTTGTTTATTATGTTAGATCTCTTTTTGTGTACAGTCAGACCGTAAATTACTTTTTTCCTCTCCATGTCGAGCAGTATGACAAACCGCCGAAAAATTCCATACAAAGCTCCCGCATGATTTTACATTGGTAGCCCAGCTTTCCTTATACAGTATGAGAATATGTGGAGCTGCCAGTGTCACTATTCCTGTCACTTATCATAATGCAATTTCCTTTTCTGTGTAATCCTAAAGTGGTTAAACTTATTGTAAATTGAATAATAAAAATCTAATGTAAACAAGTACAGTCATGTTGCATTTTACGCAGGGGTTACATTCCGAAGAAGTCGCGTAAAGCCAAAAATGCGTGCAGTAAAACCGTAATAACTCGGCACGTATGAGCTCTTGCCTTGCCGAAATATTCCAAATTCAAGCAAAATTACAGCAATGAAATATTATCGGTCCATATACGTGTACATGTAGTTAATGATTTTCAAAAGATAACACTTACCAGCCCTGCAGGCCAAAAAAAATCAAGCATTGTAGTAGGCAACACGGCACATGGTAGGTGACACAAAGGCATGATAGGTGACACGGGGGAATGGTAGGTGATGCAGGGGAATGGTAGGTGACACGGGAATAGTAGGTGACACAGTTGATGGAGGGGAAACGCTACATAAACAGCAAACAGTGCAGCTCTTACGTACAGTATAATTACTGTAATTTGGTCACTTGTACAAAATAAAGAATAAATTAAAAAAAAAAAATTGTTTTCGCTACATATAATTAAAGTCTGAGTATACAGTATACCATAAATAAACACGTAACTTATAACAATCCGGATATTATAGTCCACCCTAGTAAAACCGTTTTGTTTATCACAGAGCAAAATATACAAATTAAAATACTGTACTCTATTGTGGCTTAGAAATAAATAAAATATAACAAAACTATAAATAAGCAAAATGAAGAGCCTAGGTGTGTGTGTGTGTGGGAGGTGAACGTATGTGAAGGCTCTGGAAAAGCAAATCTATCTCTGCATCACTGAGACGCAGTGGGTGGGAGGGAGGGAGGAAGGAAAGTGAAATATGATTTAGGTGGTGATAATAGAGGTAGTGGTGGTGATCATGGAGCTGGTGGTGAGAAAGGTGGGGGTGACTTACCTTTCATAAAAGTAGAACATTCTTTCATTAATCACCAAATGGGTAGTAAAAACTTGGTTTCATTATATTGGGGATTCGTTCAGAGGATTAACTTTCAATGGGGACTTATTGTATACCAATTGTTGGCTTGGGACATAGAACCCAGAGAAGCCAAAACCTATATCTGTTCCCTCCACGTGCAGTCATGTTGTTGCATTCAAATTAGTCAACTCCATCTTATCAGAGACTTTATGTTACTATTGTTGTCTTACTCTGGTTGAGGGATACAAGTCTGATGAGAAATTTTGTTAGTTAATGTATTGCTGCAAGAATTGTTCAAATATTTACAGAGTCTACATATGTATTTAGAATAAAGTTAATACTTAACTTGTTGGCTATTTATGTATCATTATCTATCGAGCTTCACATTTATGGGGAATCACTGCATTAGTTCCCAGGTGTGTATTAAAACTGTTTACTTATATGTATGTACAGTATCATCTGTAGGTATGATAAGTACCTGTAGATTTCAAACCAAATTCTTCCCATTTTGCAGGAAAACGAGAAGGTAGTTTAAGTGAGAGTGAGGACGCTATGTCCCATGAGTCACAACCCCAAACTCCAACCAGCCCAGGGGACTACCAACCCAACTTCTCTGCAGATCTAGGGCCAGATACTAACACAGTAGTAATAAAAGGAAGAAATGCTGGCAGCAGTGGTGGCCACCAGAGGGCCTCTGTGTGGGAACTGAGTGAATCTGATGAACCACCAAGAGCTAAAGAACCTCTAAAGCCTTCTTCCAGCCTCCCTGATGTGGTACAAGGATTCTATATGTAAGGAGTTAATGTAGAATTTTATTGGAAGATTTTTTGTGCTATCACATTATCATTAGTACCATGACTTACAGCAAAGTGTATGTATGTTTCGTCTCATTCATTCATCCATTTGTCTATCCAGGTTTTGTAAACTCATTATTGTATAAGCAAGACTTACTATTAGATATTAAAGATTTTGTAATCATTATGAAGAATTCTTTTAGTGAGGTACTTTGATATTTTGGTTTGTAATTGTCACAGATTTGTTATATTTTAAATACTGTATTACACTTGTTCACCTACAGTACTCAAAGAGCCACTGCGATAAAATAAACATCTAATTCATAATTCTCAGTATGTAGTTATTATCACTTGCCATTGTTTTTTTTACAGGTTTATAAAATATATTGTCACTTTCAAATGATAGTTTCTTAAATTAGTGTAATAAATGCTTAGAGTTATAATTTTCTTGCTTATATCTTCTGTCACCTGAAAATTAGTTGCCTGTATTTATGCCTTACATTGATTTACACTGTACCCTCATTTACATCTTATCTTTATTTACACTGCCTTTATTTACAGCACGGAACCAACTGGGGACCAGGGTACAGCATCGACATCACTGACAGCTGTATGTGGCGAAGCAGAAATTTTAAAGGATTTATTAGCCCAGTCTCCTCACCCCCTGAAGCAGTCCACTTTGTTGAAGAAAGAAGTGTGTTATGCCTGTGATAAAGCCTTTACTGGCTTTTTCATAAACACTGGATATAAATGTATAAGTAAGAATGTTTTTTATCTCTGGCTCTTACACCCAAGAGGATCAAGGGGCACTATACTGTGCACTTGAGTATCAGGAATTCAAATTGTATGAGATTAAAAGATTTTCAGGAAGCAGTAAATTTTGGGTTTTTAATATATATTCTCTTTGTTTATTTAATAAAATTCATCAAATATTTTGATGAAGTGTGGCCGGTGCTCCATCACTGGTGTTGGATGTGCACATGAATGCTGATAACAGTACTGTATGTACAGTAAGACAATATAAGCATTTTCTATTGATTGTCTTTTAATCTCTCAGGTTGTAAGAAAATCTTCCACTCACGCTGTGTAAAAGCTTCTCTCCATGTTGCCTGCCACGATGTCTCACATTTTGGTAAAGAGAATTCCAGTCCAATGAACAAGAAGCCACGACGCATTGATCAGGAGGACAACTGGAACCTCACTAGAACATCTGAATTCATTGACAAATCTGATGAAGTGATTAAAGATGCATTTGAACTTAGACGGCTGGAGGAATACATCAGACGCAAGGTGCAGTAGATTGAAACTTGTCATTGATTACTTTTAATATGAACTGTGTCGGGGCCACTAAAACTTGTCTTGAAACAACCTACTACTGTACACTAAATCTAATAATATTATTACTTTTATTTGGTTAAAGTTTTGCCTCTTCTCTGATATAAAGCCGGTGACTTTGTGTCTGAACACAGATTAATTTAAGCTCCTATACAGGTGGACCCCAAAAACCGACGTCCCGTTGACCACTGATTCACATACCGATAATTACATATAGGGAAAATACTCTACAAGTTTCGTTGATATCCTGGACATCCGACGATCGGCAGAACTGGCGTGGTGCAAATTCTTGCCACCATAGGGCTCTATGCACTGCCTCTGACTCATTCCCAACATCTTTGCACTTGTTTACATCTACTATGTGTCTCTGATTTTGTGTTTTTTCGTTATTTATGACTTGGTGTGTTACTCATGCCTAAACACCCCAGTGATAGTTCCTCTTGTGCTGGGCAACTTGAGGTGATGTGGTGGACAGACGGGAGCCAAGATACTGAAAGTGGGTAACACTAGACAGGATAGTACCATTAATTTGTATGGATGGTGGAGGTGCGGTTGAACCGGGGGCAGGCCAAAACAGAATCTGAATCTTATGTACATTCACCTCAAGGCCGAAGTATGCATAGGCATCTGCGTAGGTGTTCAGGATCTCTTTGTAGGTCGCGTTCAGAGTGAGCGACAAGGGTGAGGTCATCTGCATATTAAAGTTCAGTGATGGAAGTGACCGACACCTTTGTTCCGGCCTGGAGTTGTCTTATGATTAAAAGTCTTTTCATCCGGTACTGGATATCCACCTCGCCGGCTAAATTGGCACTGGTACGAGTAAGGAATGCAATCAGGAAAATGGAAAACAGAGTTGGAGCCAGTACACATCCTTGTTTTACCCCCGTTTGGATGGGGAAGAACTCAGACTGGGCACCATTGTGCAGTGCCGTTCATGCCTTCGTGGGGTTACCTCACAATGGTGATGAATTTTGGTGTGCAATAAAAGCGGCTGAGGGTCTGCCAGAGGGCTTCCCTGTTGACCGAGTCGAAGGCCCTAGTAAGGTCGATGAAAGCCATGTGCAAGTCACGATGTTGTTCTCTGCACTTTTCCAGTATCTGACGGGCAGCAAAGATCATGTAAGTGGTGCCACGTGATGGTCTAAAGCCACATTGAGATTCTGGGAGGAAGTTTTCTGCCTCGGGAAGAATTCTGTTTAGGAGGACTTGGGCGATAATCTTGCCAGCTTCGGACAGCAGCAAGATCCTGCTGTAGTCGCCACAGTCTGACCGGTCTCCCTTGTTCTTATAAATATTGACGATGGAGGCACCTTTAAGATCTTATGGGATTTTCTCCTTCTCCCATATATTCTCCAGGAGAGAGTGGAGATGGCTGGTAGGCAGAGATCATCCTGCTTTATACACCTCGGCTGGGATTCCATCAGGCCTTGTGGTTTTGTTATTTTACATTTGCTTGATGGCAGTAGCTTCCTCATCCTGTGATGGAGGATAGCTGAGGTGGGGCAGCCCTGGGTGCTGAAGGACCTGCTGGGTAGTCAGGACATCCACATCGAATTTTCTGTTGAGCAGCGAATGGGAGTGCTCTTTCCAAGGTGGGTCAGCTCTTTGTGCTGAGGGACCTGCTGGGTAGTCAGGACATCCACTTGGGTGTTTCGGTTGAGCAGCGAAAGGTAGTGGTCTTTGCAGTGCTGATGGATGCCATCTTCGTCTTCAATTAGGAAGTTACCGTCGAATGGGCGGGCCGGGGGCGGGGGGGTGCAATGAGTAATTGAGTCATACAATATTTTAGTGGAGTTGACAAATTCGTGCATCTTGTGTTGATCTGCAAATTTTTTTGTTTCGTGCCTTATTTTTCCACCATTCGTTCTTTAGATTGCGGAATTTGCGCTGGGCCGCCTCTTTCTTCTCATGGAAGGAATCAGCTTTGGTCTGAGACTGAGGGTTATTCTGCCAGACAGTGAGAGGGTCTCTGCTGGTGTTTGTCATGACATTGTCAAGGATGCCACATTCCGCACTTGGATTTGGGTTGTTTGTTGTTGAGTTGTTTATCAGCTCATCCTCAAGCTGCTCTTTGAAAGCATATGCTATCGCTTGATCCTCCAGTTGCTTGGTGTTAAAACCTTTTCTGGAGGTTTGTTGCCTCCACCATTTTGGGGTGATGTGAAGGGAGAGTTTGGCTCTAATGAGCCGATGATCTGTGTCACAGTGGTCTGAGCCACACTGGCTTGGTTGATGACACACACACACACACACACACACACACACACACACACACACACATATATACACATAAATACATACATACATACATACATACATACATACATACATACATAAACCTTGTAATAGAAAGGGTTTGAATATTTATTTATTTATTTTTAATTTATTTATTTTATTTATTTATTTATTTTTGTAATGTACATTTATTTCTCAAACAGTTGTATGACCTGGAGGAAAAGGAGAGCGAGAAGATGGACGCCCGTACCCAGAGCCTCGACCGCAGCTTCTCCCGAGACACAACAAACAAGGATTCTGAAGCGAGCGCACGTTTACGAGACAGAAAAGATTCGCAAGTAGACCAGATGTTTTGTCAGTCATTACGTGAATTCAAAAACAATCTGGTCTCCACGTACACTGTGGCATTCCAAAAAGAAACGGCAGACATCGCTCTCAAGTACAAGGACCTTATCAAGAATTTTGAACAGGTTGGTAGCAGTTTTTGATTGTCAGGCTGTCCTGATTGCTTCCTGGAAATAATTATTGTCTCTCTGTCAGTCTTCAGTAGTGTTGGGAAATGTTTGTGGCAGATATAGTAAATGACAGTGAGCTGCTGCAGTAGTTATAAGATACTGGACAGGACTATTTAAATTAAAAAGCCAGGCTTATTAAATTTAACATTCAGACTTGTTCTGCTTAAAGTTCTAACACATTTACATTAGATTAAAGGTTCGAACGTAATCTCAGACTGTTTAGGTTAGATTAAAGTTATGACTTCCTAATGAGATTAAAAGCTCTGTCATTATGATTAGATTTAAAAAAAATTCAAACTTATGGTTGGATTAAAAGTTAGTCTTTATAGATTGAAATGTTCACCAAAACACTTATGAATGTATGTAACTTTTACTGCCCATAGTACATTATGTTTTGATGCTGGGTCATTATGGTATGTACAGTCACAGTCAAAAGTTCACTCCCCCCATGGTGAAAATGGGTCATGGGAATGAGTCTCTGAACTTACTTACCCTGACTGTGCAGGTGTGCTGTTTTATCTCAATTGGGGTCTATACTGCTTCAGTTTGGGAGGGAGAGAACTCTTGACCTAGGGTGTACATTACTGAAAACGTTGCATGAAGTACCAAGGAGTGTCAGTCTTGCTGTTTTATGTACTAGTAATGCAGAAACTTCCTTTCATTCTTTGTAGGTGATGAACACAGTATGCAAGGAGAAGATGGGTAACGACACTTTCCCAGTCACAATGGGTGTCAACGCATTTCGAGGTTTCTTGGACGAATTCATACGAGAGAAAAAGAAACCACTTGAAGAGAAATCTAGAAGAAAAAGACACAGGCGTAAAAAGAAAAGGGTAAGTTTTTTTTTTATAAATTACCGGAATGTTGTAGAAAGAGTGATTGAGAAATTGTTAAAGGAGAGTAGACAGCAATGAAACATAGTTTGGGTTTATGCCAGGTTTAAGGACAACAGAGGCAATATTTACGGCCAGGCATATCTACAAGAGAAATGTGGATAGAAAATTTTAGCTACTTTGTGTTTGTAGATTTAGAGAAGGCATTTGACAGGGTACCACATGAAGTAATAAAGTGTGTAATGAGGAAGTTAGGAGTGGAGGAGTATCATGTCTGAGTGGTTATGGCATCATATGAGGACTCAAAAACCTCTGATTTATCGAGGTTCTACTGTATATAAATAATAAGCACGTTCCTATGACAAATGTGATCCAAAGACAGGAGGCTCTGTTCAAAGGTAAAAGGATTACTGTTTAGTTTTATTGTTTAGTTTTCCTCTCTTGTACTTATACTCTATTTATTGTTTATTTCAGATAGAGGAGTTGGTTTATGGAGGACACATCTTCTCCCAAATCATGGTGAACATTCCTACCCAGTGTGAAGTGTGTAACTCCTTCCTGTGGCTCTCTATGAAAGCCCTTACCTGCCAAAGTATGTTTGCTGTTTTATATAAATGTAGTCACATGTAGAAATAATTTGTAAATAACAAGAGGAATAACTTATCTTATAATGTACAGTGTCAAAGTATGGAGAGAGAGAGAGAGAGATTGTTAAACTTTTGTATGAGTGTGTGTAAATGTGTGTTGAAGTACAGAAAGTTCTCAATTTACAGGAGGGTTATGTTCCTAAAAAGTTGGCCTTTAACTGAATTTCCATATAACAACCCTGACAATTGCCATTTAATCCCATTATATAAGAGGAGAGGTGTTCCTACAGAAAAAAAAATATTTCAACCCAAAACTTCTTAATGTACATAATTTTTTACCTTTTTAAACACATTTAAGTATAAAACAATAATATTCTGATACATTTTGATATATAATTTATTACTGGAGCCAATAAACTGGATAAATTGTTGTACATCATGGGGGTGATGCGACGTCTCCCCAAGCCAAAAAAGATTGTTTAAAGTAAGAATAGTATTTATTTATTGAAGGTAATAAGTGTTACAAAATTTGCTGCAGATTCAAAATTTTGGTTCAGTACACCCACATACACCCCCACACACACACACACACACACACACCACACACACACACACACACACACACACACACACACACACACACACACACACACACACACACACACACACACACACACACACACACACACACACACATATTTGACCAAAATCCTGTGTAGAGGATGTGACAACCAGTATATGGAAATAAAAGTTATTTATTTCCATATATTGTATGAGGTTGTTTACATTCAGTATAACAATAAGATTAAAACAGTGGTGCTCCTTGTGTTATGCCCATGTACAGACAACCTGCTTGTGTCTGTTCCATAAGCAAGTGTCCAGTCCATTGCTAGGTTCCATATTAAAGTACAGTACAGTATTATGTATTTACTCCTTTATATACAGGTATGCATATTTATTTATTTATTTTCCCCCACTAGGATGTAAAGTTACATGTCACCAGAAGTGTTACAAGAGAGCGGACTCTAAATGTAGCCACGAAGGTCCCAAGCCTGTAGTCGTGGACAACAATACTCCTCCAACGAGAAATCGGGTTCTTGGCGTCCCATTAGAAAACTTAGTCAGGCCGGGTGAGAAAATTCCCTCGGTGATAGATCGTCTCATTACCAGCATTGAGCTTTATGGGTTATACACTGAGGGCCTTTATCGCAAGTCAGGGGCACAAACCAAAGTAAGTATCTCTGTCTCTCCCTTTATAAACAAGGAATGTAAAGAGAAGTTGTTTACTATGTTGGGTAACCTCATTATTGGTTCATATAGTGTAATGTACAGTACAGTACTTTTCCAACAAAAGATAATAATCATGCATACTCATACAGTATATCGCTTTTTGTCATGAATGCTTATTCCTGTAGTCAGTTTCGACATGGCAAAAACAATCTTTCCCCGAGCAGTTTGGCTATTATCTGTTTCCACACTTTAATGAAATGTGTTAAATTTAAAAAAGTTGGTTTTACAATGTGTAGCTTACCTAGCTCACCTTAATTGTCCCATTATGCTGAAGTAAGCAGTGAGGGATAAGGAAATAGTATCCATCTATACATCTATATGTCTCTCTGGGCATCATGCAAACACAAAAATATAAATGGGTTTCCATAAAACATGGTATGTGAATGTAACTCAACAACATCTTTAAAAACAAGTTAATAATCAGTATTTCTTTTTTTTTGGGGGGGGGGGTTGGGGGAGTTATGGTCTGTTTTGTCTATAATGACGGGGAACCTGCATCTTCTCTCGTGACTTGATTCTGTGAATTTTCTTAAGTTGAATTAACTATCTCATGAAGACATGATTTAGGTTTCCCTCTAGCTTCTGTAGTTTTTTTACTTCATCAAAATTAGACACAAGATTATTACCAACTGTAGCATTCAGGTCCATCTTGTAATGTTCATCTTACAAACTTGGCACAAAGCTGTTACCTGTTGCAGCTCACATCCATCCAAATAATACACACCTGAGACCCTAGTTTTCACAGCTACTCAAACCAATCATAGAGTTATAAGGAAAGTAATGTAAATATGCTGAAGAAAACATAAAAAATGGAAAGTCGCTTAAAGACACAAATATTCCCCATGAACTGTGTAATATAGAGACATTTTTGCTCAGCTTGCACCATCCTCCCCACACTGCCCAAAGCATGTGCCACCTGCCAAAGTCCCCTGTTGGCATAACTTATGATCACTGCCTGGTTCTCTTTGTTATTTTGGTCATGCAAGATCCTATGTTTCATATTTATACCCACACCTCACATTGCTGTAGTAGAACTTGTTATTCATGTGATTTATACCAAGGAGATGTTAGAATATAGAATTATAGAATGTTTTGCTCATAAGTATGGTACAGTATGTTTGTGGTAATCCAATCAGATTTGTAAGCATAGCACTTCAAATTGTATTCATTTCATGACTTAGGTAATAATTTGTATTAGTGTTTAAGTAAAATTGATTATTTGGAAATTTTAAGCTTGGTAAAATTTTCATTTGTACAGTTGTTTGTATACTGTACTGTAGTATATATCATTGAGAAGACACTTTGGAGGTTTTATATATTTTGACATTACAAGGTATTAAGTTACAGTGCTGTAAAATACTGTTAAAAGGACAGGAGTATATTGTGAATATTTTTAATTATTGGTCTATTTATCTTTTTCTCTCTGCCCCTGTAATCAACCTTCATCAGGTACGAGCACTGAAGGCCCACATGGAGCGTGACCCAGATAATATAGACTTCACTGACACACCAATCCACGTCCTGGCCACCATACTCAAGTCGTTCTTCCGGGAACTGCCGGAGCCACTTCTCACCTTTGAATGCTATGACTCGCTACTCCATGCTACAGACTTGCAAGATCCAGATGATCAGCTTCAGACTATTTTTAATATAATTAAGGGAATACCAAAATTAAATTATGACTTACTGGAAAGATTAATCTTTCACATGGTGAGAGTGGTACAGCACGAGGAACATAATCGCATGAATTCTAATGCCCTGGCAATTGTGTTTGCACCGTGCATACTGCGTAGTCAGAGATCACAGACGGTCCAGGATTCTCTCAATGATATTGCCAAACAAACGTCGGTAAGATTTCCTCATTAGTTTGTGTTTAGAATTCTGATCCTCCATATATTTGAAGTACAATATTTAACTCACATATGTCTTGGTATTTCTACTGATTGTTTTCTTTTCTCTTACGAATATATATTTTTTATCCAGGTTGTAGAAACAATAGTAACAAGACAGCTGAGACAAGTGAGAATGACCCTTCATGACATAGATAGTGTTGACAGTGCTACAGCATCAGCAGGAATGCGTCTCGATTCTATTCGTTCCTTGAAGGTGAGATGCCTTGCTCATGTATACAGTACTGTACTTATATTACAGAACAGAAGCTTTAGCGTTTATTATAAATTATTCTCTCAAGATGAACTGTTGCAATTAATATTCTTTGTTAAGTAAGTTAAAAACCTGGATAACTGTACAACAGATTACCGGGTAATTAGAGTTATTGTATAAATGCCAAATATGTTAAAAACATTGTTATACGGATGTAAAGTGTAGTTAAGTCCAGTTTAATGGGGTTTACTGTATACTTTTTTATTTTATTTTTTATTTTTTATGGGTATTAGCCCACCCAGGCACAGGTCATTTTTAATGACCCACATCAAGGCCTGGGGGGCAAAAATATAATAAAATAATAATATTAATTATGATGATAATAATTATAAAATGAATAAAAAATATTAATAATAATAAAAAATATATATAAAAATTATAAATAATAATAATAAAGAACCATAAATAAATACAGAAATTAAAAAAAAATATCAAGAGCGAGAAATGATATACTGTATGTATGTTGTGTTGTCAAAGTAAGAGAAACAATTGAAACCTTGCAATTGTGTGTAAATGAGGCAGAAAGTCAGATCAGCAATCTGGGATTTGGTCAAAATTTTTGTGATGCCATATGGCAGCAGGGTCTACCATTAGACAACACATTATGCTTCCAATATCTTCCCAGGCGGTAGTACCTCCCTGTTTGATAGATGCCTACTACTGTATATATTTTAGTATCACTGATTTAGAATAAATTAAACTACAACAAAATTGTGACGACCATATTTTTATTTTTTTTCATTTTCCAGCCACACACTCATCGTACCAGTGCCCTACACACTGATGTTGCAGTGTCAACATTACCACGTCCATCCTGTACTACAGTGAGAACTGCAATATCTGATACCAGCGAGTATGACCTGGAAGAAAAGTTGGAAAATCTCCGTGACACTCGAATGCGCTTAGAGTTTCAATTACCAGTCTTGGTAAGAGTCGGCTCAGAGGAAGATTTACTCTCCACGGATATGTCTCGAGCTGGTTCCTTAGAGGACATTCCTGGAACACCCACTACTTCTGGTATTTTCAGTGGAGGATCCAGAGAAAGCACTTTTGGTGAAGAATCAGATGCACCTTCCTTATCAGGTAAGATGTGAATTCGGTAATAAGTAATGTGAGGGATTAGGTTATATAGTACAGTAAACCCTAGCCAATCCAGACCCTTTTATCTTGGACGGGAATTGGGTCGGCCTCGGACACTTTTCCATCCATCTCGGACGATATCTGAAGTGGGCAGGCAAGCGTGGCCGCCCATTCAGACAAAACCACAAGTCTCCCCGAAGGTTCTGTAAGCTTCCTCGGCCATGCATGAAGGTTCCCAAGTCCCAACATTCTTGAATATGCAGCATGGGTGGCCTCCCAGGTGTGTGTAAAGAAGTGGATGATTAATGGAGATGATGTGGATGTTTAAGGGGGTTGATGTGGATGTTTAGTGGAGATGATGTGGATATATAGGCAAGGTTAAGTCTCATCCATCATTGGTCTCATTGTATTTACACATAATCATAATTTTATGGTTACAGTAGTTTTTTCTTAGTGATTAACTCACTTTTTTTTTTCCTTCCTAATAATTTATTACAGGTATACCTGTATTTCTGAATGATTAACTAAATATTTCTCTTATTTACACTATAAAACATATTCATTAATATTTGCTGATAACCACAAAAGAAAAATAATACACAAAATTCCCAAGTGCTTCCACATCTTCAGGGGCCTCTACTTACCTCTGAAAATTTGAATTACACACAAGTGCTTGGGAACTATGTGTTTTCTCTATGCTACTGTACTGTATGTGGTTATCAGCATAGGTTCAAAATTATTTCTTTAGGGCAGTGGTCCCCAACCCTTTGTAGGCTCTGGGCCACATAGGTGAGATTTTCCTCCTCTACAAAAATTTTTATAATAATAATGATAACAGCACATCATAAAATCCAATAGCTCATATTTATGTACAAAAATACTCACTTTTTTTGCCCACAAACCATATTCTGGATGATGCATTATCATTTAGGAGCAAAGCCTTGTTGGATATATTTCTGTTGTTACTGTACCTTTCAACTGCAGGGCAAAAATAATTGGTGAACCAATCTTGGAACAGGCTCATAGGCACCGAAGCTTTCATGTTTGAAGGCGAAATCTCTGGTAGTTTAGGTTTGGTGTAGACCTTGAAAGGGCTTTAATATCATATTGCCAGCAGCATTACCTCCCAACAGAAGCATTGTTAGAAATAAATGTCTTAGCAGGCATGTGCCTCTAAAAAAGGCCTGTTTCATCTACATTGTACTCTTGTTCTGGTGTGTAGCCCTCTGCAGCAATAATTGCCTTCGGTTCTGCTGGATATTTACATGCAAATGAAGGCATTTCTTAAACCTTTCAAGCCAGTCTTTACTATCCCGAATGCATCAGAACTTACACCTTGTTCTTTCTGTAAATCATCTTGCAAACTTTTGGCTTTCTCCTGAATGAGCATCATGTTTGTTGTCACATTTAATTTGGTTTGATCTTCAATCTACACACTTAAGAGTTATTCCATATTAAGCGTCACATCACTTCGATGAAAGTACGATGTACGGGCAGTTAAAGGAGTAGCAGTTATTGGCACTTGACCTATTTTTGTCTCTATTATCACATATTGTGCCCACTGTAGGGGTAGCAAGGCCTAATGTTTTTGTGCTGTAGCTAAGTTTTTCTCCCACTTCAAACCTCTTTAAAACATCAAGTTTATTGTCCAATGTAATTCCTTTATGTGATCTTTTTACACCTCTGCTTGTACTTGAGCTTGATGGCCTCTTTCAACTCATCTTGAATAAAAATACACAGTATAGTAATACAGTCCTAAACACAAAACCGAACACAAGTTGGAAAATGAATTTAGACTGAGCAGCACCGTTGTTGCTGGACCTCCACCTACAATCCACTCGTAATATATTTTAACATTTTTGTTATACATCGCTTTTTTTTTTTTTTTACCCAAATTCTGTAAGGGTGAATTTTTGGTCATAATTTCCAAATTCCTTAAGTCTGTAACCTGAGTTTCCATAATGCAGGGGATGTCTGTGTGCTCCATCATGTTTCTGTAATGTATCTGCCATAACATATTTTATGCCTCTTATTTGTTAAAGTTGAACACTTCTTTTATGTTCACTAGGCAGTTATTAGTTACCTTTGTCCAATTGAATATTAAGCCCTTCACTATGGGGATGCCACTTTTAATGTTTTATTTTACCGATGCCAGAGAATTTTATTAACAACAAAAAAACATTGTGATGGCCTGTATTGATTAAGAGGCAATGTGTAGGTCACAAGGAAACTGTTAAGAGGATGGTACAGGTGAATTATTCACTGGTTATTCCACAGTGTTGTGTTGGCCCTAACTTCAGGCAGTACAGTACTCACTAACATTGTGGTTACATTCTTGGAAACCACAATGTTAACCCTCTCGTGGTCTTTCAACGCAAATTGCATTGCTAAGCACTCCTGTGCTGGCGCTACCACTCATTTGTTCAGCTGTATCTCACACCGACAGCACCTCTCCTGTAAACAGAAATGCGGTAGCCCTATCAACCACTTACGTTCCTCCCACTAACCTCAGGGGCTGGCAGATGCCTCTCTTTAGGGTGCAATTTGGGTCTGGATTGCTCTACCCAATGTTTATGTAAATAGAAAACCCATTCCTGTTACTGACTCACGATCTATTTTAGATTGATTATTGTTAGCAAAAATTTATGCCCTTTATAATAAGTATATTAATTGTGGACAAATACATCATAACTGTTAACAATAAATATTCATACTTGTGACTGACGGGAAATAGTGGCATTAATTTAAGTCCCGGCAACAATATGGCATGATATCCTCACCAGTGTCCATTATGTAGGCAAATATCTTATAAGAAATGGGGATGTTTTACCTCTTAATATTTTTTGCTACTAAAAGAAGTTGGTATAATTTTATGACAGGTGACAGCACAAGCAGACAAAAGAGAAGAACTACTTCATGGAAACGAGATAAGAGTGATGAAGACGGGAGCGTAACTTCACGATTACACCAGGACTATAGTGATGATGCTGTGATGGTGTAGCTTGAGGATGATCGCTGACAAGATCTGTAACACTCGGGCCGTGCTGAACACTAATGTGGTTTTAATTTCATCATTTGGAAAGATGGCTTTTTGGAAATATTGAAATATAATCGAACAAATCTGTAATTGTTTATTTTTTATCTAATAATTATGCCTGAAATTTGCTACAGAAAAATCCATTCATAACTAAAGATATACAGTATTGACCTTTATTTTTGTGTAAAGAAAGAGGTGTTAGTGTGAATGAGACTGATGTGCTTAGAACTGTTTTGTTTGTGAAGCAAAAAATTTGTACATCAATTTTTGTTGTTTATTGCTCTAAATGCTTTAAGGTGAACTATTCTTGTCAAGAGATGTGTTTTTTATGTCTGTATTCTATGTTAAATTGAGAAGTTACCTTTGTAAATCATCGATTGTTTTTATTTTGGAATTGTGTTTATTTGATGACCAACAACTGTAAATATTTTGTCAACACTTTTCAGTTTACACACATACACATTCTTGAATATTAGGGATCCATTATTATTATTTTTTTTTTGGGGGGGGGGGGGATAACCAATTTAACAAAGTATTTTCAAATTCATAATTCCCTGACCCAACTGATGGTGTGGCAACTCCTGCAGTACAGAATGAAGCCACATGTTCTTACATATTTTCTGGGTCCCAGCTAGTGCTGGGTGCACCATCAGTGTAGAACAGCACAGCCTGCACTATCTCTACTGGTAGAAAAAACAGCACCACTCTCATTGTTGCTGTTGGTCTTAAAATGTAGCATCACTATCACTGGCACTCCTTTTTTCAGCAACAGTGAATAAACATGTGCTGTATGCTGATACAATTTATAGAAAATTGTAATAATAAAACACCAAGGTAGAAGCTATTCATTTAATGTACTGTACTGTGCACATACAAAGTACTGTATATAAACTAAAAACATCGAGGTATTGGGCAAATTATTCAATGAGATCAAATTATAATGAACTGTTTCTCACAAAGTTTCAGGACTTGACAAGTTGTGTGGTAGAGAGGATGACCGCCACTGTCTAATTTACATGGTTACTGCTCATTTGTAATTACAGTCAGTATTTAGAGAAGAAATATTTTAAATTAATCTCTTGTACTGTGTCAGCACATATCTATGTACACAATACAACTTTCAATGCTCTATATATCTGTAATTAGAAATGCAGTGCAATTTTTTTATTCAGAACTGTTAAATATTTTCCATTTTATTGTATATAAATTGCCGTTTATAGTGGCACTCAATTGTGTATTCCGCATCAGTGATTGATTACAGGCCACACTTTATTGAAGAATAAATTTAGCACTTTTATTAAATATATACTCTACTATGGGTTCTTGGAGTGCATACATATACTGTCCAAAAGCTGTTTTGGTCCCAAGCATTCTGGATTCCTGATGCTCAAGTCTCATATATACAGTATATATATATATATATATATATATAAATATATATATATATATATATATATATATATATATATATATATATATATATATATATATATATATATATATATATATATATATATATATATATATATATATATATATATATATATACTGTATATCATATTTAGGATGTTCTCCAGATACTTTCACCCATCAGTAGTAATGACCAATATAACCTGAAAGTTCTGACCCTAAGTGACAAATTTCAGTTTTATAAAATACTCTTTATTCAAACCTAGCACTGTAATGTAATGTACTCGTATATAAACTCATATTTTTATCTTACAAAAAATTGACTAAAACTTATCCTGATGTAATTTACAAGAAGGGCAAAATAGTAAATTATTATTTATAGAGTAAGACTTTATTCATAACGTCTAACAAGCAAAAGGTTTTTTTTGTTCAACTATATAAAAAACAAACAGCTTGGTAATTCTTTGAGGTAAGCGACCTTTTAAATAAAAAACAAGGCAAAAACTTCTTTTTAAACAAATTGAGGTACCACAGTTTCTTAGTGGTCTTGAAAATTAAAAACAAAACAAATGCCAACAATGCAGATATGAATCGTGCCACAAATTTCTTAGTATCCAGTCTTCAAATTTCAGCAGCCTTCATCATTCAGGCTTTGACATATGACATCATTGCAATACTTCTTCAGTATAGTATCTGTCAACTGGAAATCTATTTTACGAAAGATTTGAGCATTCAAAATAAGAAGTTAGGGAGACATCTACTACTTGTCTTCAGGTGTGTTTGAGGAGTAAGTTTTATGGTGATTGTAGGAGATTGACATACAGTATTGAAAGTTATATTGCAGATTTATTAACATTGAAAATGTTAGGGAAGTGAATTAGTGTATTTAAAGGTACAGTATTTTCAGAAACGAATAATATATCAAAACTGACACAAGTATTGTACTGTACCTGTACTATGGTTTATTACATGTTTTCCTTGGACACACATTCAAGATAGTATCACTTCGCATATTTATCCATTTTACGGAAGCCTCTTAGTCCCAAAATTCTCCGTTGACAGATACTTTACTGTAGTACTATTACCACTACTGTATCACCATGTCAGAGAATTAAAAATGTGAAGATACAGTAAACTGTAAGTCATTCTTAAGATTAAAAACACCGTCTGCATTGCGTAATAGAAAAATATTTTGCATTTTCGTCCAGGTATCATTTGTGGCATATTTATATTGCATGTTGTTGCATATGCTTGTAAATATAATCTAATTTAAAATTGTCTAATGATGTTTGTTTTAGCAGTACTTCTTACAAGGTACTGTACTGTCAAAACCTTATATTGTGCTGTTTTATTCAGTAATTTGTATTATTTCGGTGGGTTTAAGTCATTATTACAGAGGATTTACAGTCCTACTGTAAGTTTAATTCAGCAATACACTGTGAAGTAATTGGATGTTATTCAGTAATCTTATAGTTGTTCTTGTCATCAGTGAAGATGAACATTACAGTATATGTACAGTACTGTACTCAAAATATTTTACAAATTTAATTAGAGCTGGTTCTACTCCACTGCACACACAAACACACACACACACACACACACACACACACACACACACACTATTGTAATTTGAGTCATCACTTGCATATTTCAGGGGACCATTATCATATTTAAGTTTACAAGAATTATTTCATCCAGATAACATCAAGTGTAATACAGTAATGCCTCGGTAACAAACTAAGCTCAGGCATGACGACAGCTGTACGAGCAGAGGCTTAGACTATGGACAGTGACACATATAACCAGAGTTTTTACAAAAATTAAAGGATTTTCTTAGTATCCTCTCTTATCCATTAATGACTTTGAACTTGTTGCCATTTCTTGCCATTACTTAGCCTGTTTATAAATTTTTTAATACATGTTAGTTTTTTTTTTTTTTTTTAATTGCAATATAAATTGTTTCATCTCTCCACACTATTTATTTGAAGATCTTAGTCAAACCCAACTTATTGGTACTGTACCCCTATGTCTACCCAAACTACCATTTGTGAGTTCCTATCATTGTTCATGTTAAATAATTTCAAGGAACAAAAGTTTTAGTGTGGCCTTCTCTATATATTTTTTTCTGATTAATATTCATATTAGTGTATAAAAGTACCATTAAGCTTATTTATACAACTATTGGGGTCTAGGATGTCAATATTGCTGGTTATGCTTAGACTCTTGTGTCCTGTCCAAGTCTTGTGACTAATTTAGGAATCATCTTCACAGACAAACGGTCACAAGAGCATGAGGAATATATATCTCATAATAGTCACAAGAGTACTTCTATTTTTAATATATTTTGAACATTGGGGTTTTACTTATTTGATTATGAATTTTGTTTTAAAGTGTCTGCCTGTGCATTATGTACAGGCATATCCCAATAACCGACATATGTAGGAACCATGAAAAGTCATTGGTTAGTGAATCAACGGTTATCGAAGCAATTAATCCCATGAGAATATAACAAATTCAGGGGGTTAAGGACTGGCCACCCCCAAAAATCTCCCTTACAACCTTGATACATCTCTGTCGTGTACACTGTCAAGCAAAAAAATAAAACACCCATATAAAACTAGTATAATAAAGATTAAGTAAGTAATGTAAAGCATAAATTGAGACAGTTTTACCTGTGTTGAGGATGGTAGAGATGGTCTAGGGTGGCAAGTCTACCAATCTTTGCTGTCCATCACCACTCTAATTACTCCTTATTGCATCACATCAAGCTGCAGCACGAGAGAAACTATCACTGGGACGTATAGGCATGATTGCATAAAACACGAAGTCCGAAAACACATGAAGTCGGAGACACACAGTAAGCGTAAACAAGAGCAGAGGGGTGGGAAGGAGTCAAAGGCAGTGCCCTCTCGTGGCAAGAATTCACACCACGCCACCGCCTGCCAAATTCAAAACAGCTCTGCCACTCCTCTCCCAATCATTGGTTCTCCGGGTATCAACGAAAGTTGTGGGGTATGTCCCCTTTATGTAATCATCAGTTATGCAAATCGGCGGTTAATGGAGCGTCGGTTTTTGGGGTGTACCTGTACTGCATTATGTATTGCCACCAGTTAAATTCTGCAACTAATATGACAAGCTGTTGAATAAACACAAAAAATATATAAAAAGTTCCTTTTCTGAGAGGTGAAATGTTGAAAGTTATTGTATTATATGTAATCTTTTAAATTTATTGTACATTTTAAACTTAAGAGCATTTTAGTACAGTTGCGGATAATGAAAAGTGCAATGAAACAAACAGTATGGCTCAACAGATTGAGCCAGTGTTAGTGTTTGTTAAGTAAGTGGGCCATGTTTACGGTGTACAAGTCTTTCTGCAAGCAAAGACCAAGTTATATACATGACTATGCTTTTAGTACAGATAAAAATATATGACAAAGTCTCTTGTCATTCTATAACATTCCAGTTAGTACAGTATTGTTTTTAGTACAGAAGTCCATCCGTCAGGAATATTATTTGTCGATGCCTTTGTGGTTAGCTAATCTAATGCCTGTGCTTGAATGTTGGAAGCCATTACTCTCTTCATAGTCATCAATTGTACCATATCCATTGTATTTATTTGAGTAATGTAAGCTTCAGTTTGCAGGCTTCCCTTAGACATGATACAGTATACATTATGCAAGTATATATATTATTGTTACAGCATCATATACACATCAGTTCCAATCTTTTCAGTCTAACTTGGGATTTGTCAGCCATTAAACAACCATGATGAAATACCTTAGATGCAATGATATGCTTCAGAGTATGTGGTTGGCACTTGAACCCATTGGGACGATTACTAGGATACCATCTGATCAGTTGTTTTTCTTAGCAGATATTATAGTATTATTGCGAAGTTGACCAGGGATTTTTTTTTATGTTAATGTAAGTCACATTTGAAAATTCCGATCATATAGAATGGATTTCTGAAGCAATTTAATGTGCATGCTTGTATACCAACATCTTTATTATTGAAGGCATGTCTGAATCATGATTACTCAAAATATCAGATTGTTAGTACTGTAGCATGCCTTGTGCTTTTTTTCTTGTGTGTAAAGGAAATTTTAAACATCTAATTTGGGCCATGTTATGTAAGAGTGCAGTACAGTGTAAACCACAAAGAGAACAAGTTATTATTGAAATCTGATGACTGGAATAATCAAGGCAGTAAAAGGTCTTTGTAATGAAGACATTGGTGAACATGTTTTTAGTTATGTTGGGTAATGCCATTGTTTGGAGATCTGCACATCACAAAATATGGCATCTCTGAATTCCAACCACCAATTTCTTTTATTTATTTATTTATCTTATTTTTTTGGTAAAAGACCATTTTTTTTGCCTTGATTATGTTTATAATTTGGATACTCATTACTTTATTCATGACTTAAGATTTATTTAAATAGATAATTTTCATGTGCAAATATACCAAGGAATTGAATGTTTCTTAACTTCCTTGTTTTATTGTCCTTTTTACAGTACTATAGCTTTCGTCAAATTTTATCCCCCTTGATCCACTCTACTCATTGACAGATGTAGACAATACAATAGATCAGTATAAAAGTAACATTGGTGAAAACTGTAGTATTCTTCAGCACAGTAGCCACTTCAGAATTTCTTTTTAACTGAAATTGTAATATCCTTCACGTAAGACCACTTGCATAAATATGACATCCCGTATGTGAGAACAACCTCACAAATTTTAACATTCATAAAGTGCGCCAAGTGTCCCAGTAGACACGCTCATGCTACCCATATCTTAATAGGTCTCTAAGTTGCCTTTGTCAGCAGGAAAGATTCATGTTCACTGTCCACAGCTCGGCCCCTCATGCTTATTTAAACACTCCACCACAGCTGAACAAATGTAAGTAAATCTTTTCGTTTTTTATACTTCTGCATGCATGTCTTTAATTTGATAAAAATATAACATGTTTTTATGAGTTGATTTGTCTGTGTTTATTGCACACACACAAAGGTAAGCTGATCAAATTGCTGCAATCACGGGAAAAAGTCACCTAACCCAAGCCAACCCAACCTAACCTAGCCTACGTGCATCATAAATAAATTGTTTTCAATATGTAAAAGTCATGTATTGTCAGTTAATTGTTTTAAAATATTTTTAGTTTTATTACCTTAAATGTGACTTTTTTTCCTAGCCAAAATTGTGACTTTTTCTGACTCTTTTTCCTGTGACTTTATTACCTGTCACCTTTGCATCAGCTGGTGTAAGCAAACTTTCAGTGGCGCCACCAACACCACGCGGTCAGCTGCGAAACTATGGGTCCATTACACTGTCGGCACATAAGTGGCACACATATCGTAGACTGGGTAGTTGTCTGGCTGGCCGCCAGGGTTTAGTGGCATTATGAGTGATTGTTTACTGTGCATCAGCTGTTGGAAATGGCATGTGGTGTTGTGTTCGTTTAATTATACTGGAATTTACTATTTTATTATAATCTCTATGTTAAATAAGTTTACCAAACATGAATTTCAGTAGGAAATATTAGCGGCAGGCCACGGGAGTTACGCTAAGTGATACAGTGAGTGTTAGGCAGGCTGTTCCACTTGTTTACCACTATGTGGCAAAGCTTCTTATTTTATACTTGGCGTATAAGTCGACCTCTAGTTTTGGAGAGATTTTTTAAGCTTAAAATGTCGACTTATACGCTGCAACTTACGGTAGTTTGTTTTTTGTTTTGATCTGTGATTATGATTATGTTTTCAACCACAATACACACCCACACACCTGGTGACTGTCCAGCTGATCTTTGTCGCATGATGGCTCGATTTGGCTACATTTGTACTTGGTCAATAAACCAGGGCATATGGAGATACATTATACACTTCAATAATATTTATTAAGTTATGATAAATATGCTACAATATTATTGACCCAAAACAGATCCTGTGGTAAGCACCAACCATCTTGAGCAGTGATAACAACGGTGCTTGAGAGATGGTGAGTGTTGGCAACACTATTAGTGAAGCAGGCCAGTGTTAACTCTGTAAACAAGAGATTGAGAATATACAGGTACTACGGCGCAATATCTCTTCTGGGAATGAGTGTGGGATTTTAGAGGAAAAATGTATTATTTTTCAATAATGTTTTATAAAACCAGCACCAAATGAACATAAATAATATGAGAATTACGGTGAATTATATACTGCACATACTGTTGTTATAAAGGAATCGCGAGCTGCTGAGCAGGAAGTTGTCCTCCCTCCTCCATTGCCTCTTTTACAATACTTATTATAATGCTAAGAACATCTGTGGAAAAAATTAACAAAATTGAATAAAATCTGGTAGTGCTGTTCTCAGAAATTTTCTTATAGCCTCATGGAGAGCTGAATTCCAATTGCAAATCTTGAATAAAGGGTCACTAATAATTTTTCATGAATAAGTGAATTTTCTAATATGGAGTTAGTGAATACAGTGTAGTAATTCACAATGAAAAATACCTTCTACTGGACACTGTAAACACAGCTAAATTTGACTACATAACACTCAAAACTACACAAACAATACAAAAGCAAAGAAAGCACAACAAGCATAGAGCATGTACAGTATTTATCATCAAACATGGAACATTTTGTACCATTAAAAAAAGTATATCATCATCAAAAATGCATTAAGAGGGTACTAACTACACCAAGGTCCCAATAACCGATGAATGAAAATTTGGTTAACAAACTTAAGTGTTTAAAGGCCTAAAAATTAAATTAAAGAATTTTTATTCAATTTAACGAGCAAAATTACGAGTGTACCACCTCACATTATCACTAGTGAAGTGGATCTCGTCATCCTTTTCATTGGTTGATTGGTCAGCTACTGTAGGTTAGTGAACTCGTAGACTTGTATTCAATACTTTGAGGTGTAGTGGCATTTGTTTATCATCATGTTCTCTGCTTCTTGGAATGTACACTGCCTTTGCTCATTCATTTCTCATTATTTTTAAGATCAACCCCAACAATAATGAGTCCAAAGGAGAGAGAGAGAGAGAGAGTAAGATGTCTCAGCCCCCTTCACTCACTCACCGTCTTAACCTTCAACCAACAATGCTCAGCCAACACAAGCATAATCTTCAGCTCAGGTAAGTATATTATTCTAAATAAATTTAATCTTGTTACCCGGTAGGTTACGTTTTATGGTTGAAATACATCCAAGTTTATTCCACAAAAGTTTTCGGTTGAAAAATTCTGGGCTGTAACACAACTCGGCTTTTAACACGGGGGAAACTGGGTCCTGCTGAATGGGACTTGACCTAATAAGCACTTTTCAAGAATGTATATCACCTGTTAATTACTAGACATGTTAATTTACAATACCAAGAGAAAAGTTGTTTTTGGCCATAATCTCCCAACATAACTTTCACAAAAATTGGTTCAGAAAATAGCGACTGTTCTGATTAAACACAATCACCACTAACATCATGGATGTTACCAACTTACTCTCTTATACGACAAGTCCCAAACTTCAAAGGTAGTTTAAAATATATAAAATCTGGATGCATTTATTTTACTATACAGTATACTGCAGTTCAAGCAAGATTAAATTAATAATCTAAGATACAGTATATCTTCTTTAGTACAGTACTAAGTCTAAGGATGCTGTGGAAAATTAACACAATGCTTTCTTAACAATATGTATTTCAATTGTATCTTAGATGTTTTCCTGAAATTTCAATACAGTGTGTAAAATGTTGTAATAATAAATACTGTAATAACTTGCATCCTATAGCAGATTTTTTCAACACTTTATTAAATGTGTTACAGAACTTTATTACAAACCTATGAAAATAATAGACTATTGATATCATCCAATAGTCCATCCTTTTATCGTTGGTGTCTGAGTCTGCCCATCAGGGGTCATCATCTTGTAACAAAGAATTGAACCACTCACTGATGTATGTGGTCAAGGGAGCCACATACTCAGAGACACTGGTGATGGTTGCATAAGTGGCATCCATAGCAACCACTGCCCAGCCTTGTGTCGTCTCCACCATACGCATCACTGTGGGAGTCCAAGCTTCTACAGTGTTGTCAACCTGTACATGGAAAGATGGTCATCAAGTATTTTAGTTGAATGTGGGCGAGTACAAAGCAGGTGAAGTAAAGTTGGTAAAATTATGGTTTCCCAATTTTTATAAGGTACTAGTTCACACCCATGAATAGGTGGTAGACCACAGGATACTTTCCTGCTGGAAAAACAAGTTACCTTTCCCTAACTTTACAAACACAACATTTGCCACCAAGATAAGAAAATTGCACTTACAGATAAAATGTGAGGTCACAAGCTTAAACAAATTTACAGAAGCAAGATCTAGGTTTCTGTATACTACACTATACCCTTGTTAATTTGACAAAAAAAATTACCTCTGGGTCACTCAAATTACCCCAAAAAATCTGAATTTACTGAATTTTGGAATATTTTGACATTATTTAAAAATTTCTGAATTGTTGTGTTTGGTTATAATACAGTGAGTTCTGCGATAACGCGTGTTTTGACAACGCGAATTGGCTCTAACGCGATTTATGAATAGAGGAATGATATTTGTATAACGCGAACGCTTGTTTGTTGTAATGTGATTTTTGCTTTCTATTTCTCCAATTTTGTGGTATTAACTGTGAATATGGTAAAGAAGAATATCTCCAGGAAGCGTTCTGGTGATTGCATTCCCGGTGATGATCATAAAAGAAAGGCTATAACCCTTGAAGAGAAGCTCGATGTTATCAACCTCAAAATCACCCTTCTCCCCCATCAAGTTATATTCATATTTTTTCAAGGTAAAGTGTTACATTTACTGTATGATTTCATTATTAGATATGAATGTAACATTTATTTAGATTGCTAACCTTTGTGTTATGCTAACTACTAATTTTTTTTTTATTTCGAGTAGTAATCTGCACCTAACCCTATTTTCTCCATAAGCCCTGTTATTTCCATTACGCGAATTTCTATAACACGATGTTTTACAAGAACACAACTATCGCGTTATAGCAGAACTGACTGTACTTCATTTTCCATTCAATTTTTGTGCCTTGCCTTGGCTCCCACATAAAATAATCTATTTATAATTATTGAGCAAACAAATATTTAATGAATGTACAGTTGCCAGAATATTTTCTGAATGTACAGTTGCCAGCAAATGTCCTCTCACAGCCATACAGTATGTAGCAGGGCTGTGGGAGAACTTTTGTTGGCAACTGTACAGTACAGTATCTGGAGCGAGTAACAAGATCACTAGATTACAAGATGTTGTAACAGCTAGACTAAGGTCAGGATATAAGTACCTCTAACAGTATGTTCCTCAAGCAGATGTGAACAAAGCTAAATGTAAGGTGTGTAGCCAGACATATAGCCACACACTCGAACACTACGTCCTCGATTGTGTGATGATAGAACCTTTTAGGGACAGGTCCAAGCACATTGTGTGTGAAATGGCACAACACTTTATCTCTAATGGCAACACAGCTGACATATTAAGTTTGTATCCACTTTTTTGTACTTAGTAACTACAGTATATCAGTTCCCATGTATAGAACCACACATAATGTGCTTGAATATCTCTCACGCAAATGTGAATAACAAAGTTTGCGACTAGGCATATTGCCTCACACTCCTGTACTTATGCAGTTGCGAATAAGTTACCCTCTGTGTACAGAATTAAACAAAATTTACTTGAAATACTGTGTAACATTCAATGCCATTATATCCTGACCATGGGGGTTAGTTATACAGACCCTTTGTGAACTCTACTCTGTAATCCTTTTATGCTACTGCTCACAGGATTAGTATGGAGTGCACAATAAACTAGCCACTAAGTGGCATACTGTATTAAAAAAACAATAATAATAATAATTATTAATGAATTAACTAATTAGTAAAATGTAATCTACCTGTTGTCCCAAAGTAGGCTCAGAGGTGGGTGACTGGTTGTCCACGCGGTGAGTCATACAGGTGGCCTTTGGCGTGTCTTGGCAGTCATGACACCAGAGGCTGCAGGAAAAAAGTTTAGGTCACCCTCCATTCATTGATCATAGTGGATGTTAAAAAATAAAAAAATAAAATAAATAAATAATTTGACATCTGTTGTAACACAGGAAAAATCTTCATTAACAGTATTAATGTAGTTTAAACTGGGTAACTGTAGATGTTTCCAAGTGAATCAAGTTAATAAGGCTCAAACAACCTTGGGACTATTTGCAGTCATTAGCCTTAATGAGATGAAGGCCATTAAAAACCTTTAAGATACACTATTCACTCCCTCTTTATACCCATATTCTTTTTTTAATGTTTATGTGTGACAGGGTGGCAACAGCTATAGGAACGTGTGGTCATATTATTGGTCAGATAATTTTTAATATCTTGTATAATTATGATGTTTACACATTGACTAGGCATCAACCTGACTCAATAGCCACTCCCTAATATTTTTGCATTACATTGGTTATAATACAATAGTTCTAAATTACATTGGAAACCCGTGAAAGGTTATAATTCCCCGTGTTTGTAACTAACAGGTCAAACAGTGGCAAAAGAGAAAGTAAAGTTTAGAAAAATGAATCAGCGAGGTCGGATCTGCATTTCTTGGAATAACTTAACAGGCCCAGATAGATTTGAGGCACATGCAAGGTTGGAGGAAGTGCTAAGACGACAACACAAACGAAGACTCCACAGAATTGTACCTGCCCGCATGAACCCATTCATAGCAATGAGCGATGATGATACTCAGAATAATACATGGGCCAGCATTTGTAATGTAAACAAACGCACCTCTGGCATACCAACCACACGAGTAAGACGACCCATAATGCATCAGCAAAGGTGGACAGGCTTACCAACCCTACCCTAAATGGTCCCACATGGAGGGGAAGAGGTTCGAGTAATTAAAACTACAACTTGAAGGAACAATTCATACATGCGGGCTCTTCATAGAAGAGGGAAGGAGGGTGATTAAAACTTTGGGCAAAAGAGTCTGTGCAAAGATTTAGTGAAAGAACAAAGTGCTAGTTCTGATGAAAAACCCTTCAATGCCAGCAAAGGGAGGTTTGAATGTTTTAAGTAATGCCTAATCCTACATAACATTAAGATGGTAGGTGAAGCAGCCAGTTCTAAAACCGAATCTGCAAAGCAATACCCAGCAGAAATATAGGCAATTATTGAAGGTGATGGACACACCACAACAAGTGTACAACATTGATGAAACCATCCTGTTCTGGAAGTGCATGCCTGCCAGGATATTTATTTCAACAGAAGAGAAGACAGCTCAAGGTTTCAAGATTTCCAAGGATCATCTAATGCTTCTAATAATAATAATAATAATAATAATAATAATAATAATAATAATTTAGTTTATTGAAAGAGCATGGCAGCTGGAAGGCTGAAAATATACAGTTACATAAAAATGGAATGGGTCACTTGATTTACAAATAACCTAAGTGATACCAATATGATATATAATAAACATGATGGGAGAAGGTTATACTACAGGGCATTTCAACATAGTAACAATGAAAAAAGGTGAGAATGACTGGGATTGAATACACTGGTTGATTATGAGTTGTTGATAATTTGTACAATGGTTGGGACTGGGCTGTTCTTATGGCGATCAGTACGTGATTGTATGGGCTGGATGCGGTTGTAGTGTCGAACAGCAATGCTGCTGAAAATATGAAGTTAAAGCTTGCTTGTGTACCACTCTGACAATCCTAGGGCTATGCCAAACCTAGGTTACCAGTGATATGGCATTCTAATACGAAAGCATGGATGACTGTTTTTGTTCAGCAGTGGAAAGGTACAGAAACCAAAGACCTATTTCCAACAAGGCCTTGTTACTGTTAGATAATTATGTTCCCAGCCACCCTATTAACCTTAATGATCTTTCAAGTAATATCAGAGTGGAATACCTGCCAAAGAACCCAAGTGCCTTGCTACAGCCTATGGATCAGGGTAAAATATTAAAAAAATTATAGCTGCAATTGATGGTGAGGATCAACAATCTGTAAGAGATATTTGGAAGAAATTTAACAATGATAGCTATAGAAAACATTGCTGAGTCATGGGATGAAGTCAAATGTACAACAATGAATGATATTTGGAAGAACATCTGGCCAGAATGTATCCATATTTTTTAAGGTTTTCCCCAGGTTCAGACTTTAAATGAGGTGCAAAAGGAAATTATGACTGGCAAATGGTGCAGGGTTTGAGGACGTAGATCAGGAGAGTGTGGTTGAGTTGTTGGAGTCACACAGAGAGGATCTGTCAAATGAAGACCTGATGTTGATGGAACAGGAGCAGGCTGCCAATGTTCCATCTATAGCCCATAATTGACAACAAAGGTTTTGGCTAAAGGGATTAGTCAAATGGAAGAACTGGTGCAAACCTTTGAGACGAACAATCCAGATCGTGAATGCAGCCTCAAATTTACAAGAGGATTGGTGAACCTCATGAGCAGTTCCAAGAAGCTGTACACTCAAAAATTGCACCGTCAACGACAGACCACATTAAACAAGTTATTTACCCTAAGCCCACAGCCAGCAGAAAATAATGATGATCCACAATGAGAGGCAGGAGTCAGCAGTGATCATCTGTCACCCTCCCAGTAACTCCAATTGCACCACCTCACCTAACTTAGCACTCAACATTGTTTCTGGTAAGTAAAATTTGAGTGTTTTATGCATTTATTATGTTACATCATGTTTAAAACTGTCTATTTTCATTCATATATGTGCTTGTGTTATGTTTTTGGACCTCAAAAAATTTCAATAGGAATGCATCTCAACCTTTATAATGGGAGTCAATGGGAAAAATAGTTTTGCAATGCAGAATTTCGTGATGTGAAAAGATTTTCAGGAACGGAACCCTTCCATAACCCCAGGGATGCCCCTACACAGTTGTAATGGATGTGTCATCGTCATGCTCTGTAAAAAATATATTTTTCATTCTGCATGTTGAGCGGTATATTTCAGGTAACAACCTCATAGTCGCCCAGGTTACCTTGCAGAAGACACAATTCTTATTAGTGCTGCATTAAAAATTAAATTGAGTGCTATCTAGCATGTTGGGCATGTGAGGTCACATGTCTGTAACAAAATGTATTTTAACATTTTGGCTTTAGTTTGTCACGGGCATAGAAACCTTACCTCCAAAAAGACATATCCAGTAACATTTCAAGAAAAGGTGCAATACAGAGTGACTAAGATCATTTCTGCACAATATTATCTCAATTATCCAAGTAGACTGAGGGCCTTAGGACTGACAACTCTTCATATGAAACACATTCAAAATCTTGAATGCTATGGAAGAATTAAATCCAGATATTTTTTTTTTTTGTCACACCACCAACACAATAGGAAACAATTTCAAGCTTGCTGAGGAGTAATGCAGAACAAATATAAGAAATACTTCTTCATGCAGAGGATGGTAGACATGTAAAACAATCTAACAACCAAGCAGTGGAAGTCAAAACAATACAGGGGTAATGGGTTTTAAAATAGCCCTGAACAAGACTATCAAGAAAAAGGGAGGTATCTTACACAGGTCAAATAAAGTTCAGTACATAAATTATAAGGGCTGCCTGTTCTTCCACAGCAACCAATGCATGGAGCTGCCTGAACCAGGAAAGAGTGCAGCAGTTGTGTGGTGTCAGCTACAGTATTTGTAAGGTTAGTGTTATAAGTCATTACTGTACTTTTTGGGCCAACTATTTCATATGCTTAGCAGCATTAGAATTTGATTCTGCTATTTCCTTCTACATCTTTAGTTGGTTTTTAAATACAGAAGTCTAAGCCATGAACCAATTCCAGTTTATAAATGAAGGATTTATCCTGCAAGTACAATTTTATACCCGAGTTAGGACAACAAGACCTGCATCCTTCCGTCCTCCTCTTGGTTTCTACTTTAGTTTAGCTAAACTGACATTGGTACAGAGAAACGTGCTATAGCAACAATACCCTAACAGTCCTTCAGGAAAACTGTTGCTTTTAATCTCCCTTTTCTAGAGTAACAGTTCAATGGGGGCTGTACTAATTGGTGGGGATCAAGCTTGAGGTAAAACCTGTAAATGTAATAATATACCATGCATAAATTACACCTGACTCATTTATAAAACAGAATATCAAGGATCATTCGTTTTTTTTTTTTAGTTTGCAGATAGCATGGAAGGTGGCAAATACCCTGTACTGTAGACACATAATGTGCAGTAGTACAGTATGTACTGTGTATATCAGGTACATCATCTTCACCAGAATACAGCACAATACTATTCCAATTTTAAGACACATTCTGGGTCATTATTGAATTACTGTACACACAAATCACTGCACACTGTTTGAGGTAACTACTGAAAAACTCATTAGGCTTATACAGTATAATCATAAACACCAAAATTACACTGACATCTGCAGCTGTATAAAATTATCTACAGAAACTGGTCTACTATTACATGTACTGTATTGTACATAAATAAATATATTCAATTATAAAAAGCATTTCAACTTTTACAATTTAGGCAATTAACAGAGATGCTATATAACAGAAATATTAAACAACGAAACAAGAAACACGACTTTAAACATACATTGTGCAGTGAACGGTGTAGGTTGTACAGTATTCAGCTAGGAAAAATGTAAAACCATATCCTCACTTGACAAAAAGATTCCCATATTTTGCCATGGTTAGAACATCATTGTTGGTCTGGAGAAGGTTTACCGAGGTAACCCGGCAGACCTTCCGGCAGAGGGGGCACTCAACCTTGTCACACTTAATCATCTGGTGTATACACTCCTCGCAAAAGGTGTGATGGCATAGAAGGTATCTGGGGATCCGCATCTCAGAAAACTCATCATAGCACACTGAGCATGTCTGTAAAGGAAAGAGAAGTCTATATGTTTGTATTGTTGCCACACAAAATGGACACGTTGCAAAAAAATTACAATTAATACTTTTACTGTACTGTCAAACATAAGTACTATAGAAATAAAAATAATGTAATGAATTAACACTGATTGTGGTAAAGTATTTCCTTCTATCATCTGACATAAGCCATGGTAAAAGCCTTTGCAGTAATGTACAGTACACTTGTGTAGAAGAAAACTTAAAACTAGATTAATACCTAATCTTAAAAAATATTGGCAGTAAAATTTATATTATGTAACCATGAAACATAAAAACATACAGTACACACAAAACACACATACTGTATACACATGTACATGCACCAGCTGACCGATCTTGAGCTTTATCAGGACTGATAAAGCACCTGGAGTGGGGGGGCAGGGAGGAGGTTTGAAGGCAGCAAGGAGGAAGTAAAAGGACAGTTGTTTATGTGTGTAGGGAGGACTAGGTACAGTACAGTTATGCTATTTATTGGGGAAGGGCATTAAATTATGTGCCAAGGCTAATATGTCACTATGTATAGCATGCTTATCTGTGTCACTATAGCGTGCTTATGTGTCACTTTGTATTGCATGCTTATCTGTGTCACTATGTATAGCATGCTTATGTGTCACTTTGTATTGCATGCTTATCTGTGTAGAACTAACCAACCAACTATTAAATCACCCTTATTGCTAGATATCAAAGTCTTATATTAACTAAAATAATGCTTTCATAAATTAACCACAATCTGTTTGTTCACTGTAAGAAAGGAAAAGGCTAATACAATTGTTGTATTACTTTCACATATAATTATGCTGGAGGATATGCAAGCCTAACGTCTAATCGCTTAGAAAATAATTCCTAAGGATTAGCCTTTAAACACTTAACCCCATGTGTACTGGGTGGGTCACTTCTGAGCTAAATAAAATCAACTTACATCAACCAAATAAAATATTAAAAGAGGCATCCCTGTAGAGAAGGGGTAAAGTGGGAACCTACACATTGGGATAATGACTGAGATGATTATGGGAAAGAAAATGTACACCTTTAGTATATAGACAACAATCAGACAATAACTTAGGATAATATGAATAACCTTGATAAAGTGAAGACAAGAATACTTACCGGGAGGAGTGAGTGAGGTTGATCAGTAAGCTTGGCGTGCCTGAAGGCAGGAAAATCATCGGGTAAAGTTGGATACAGAGACATTTTTTTAATCTTCTTTGCACTTCACATTCACTTGGTTTCTTAGATACTTTCTGCTAGTGTTCAGTGACCTACTACTGCATCAGTATGAAAATTTGGTTTTAAGCTGAAATTTTTATAATAATCATTGGTCATTCATTACAATGTTTAGGTTTGGAGAATACCAAATGTAAATGGTTAATTTCAGTTTATATTCGTGCTGCGTCAAGACGTGTCATTTAAAAATTATATTAACGCTTTGTATACAAGGCCCCCTCAGAGTCGAATACAATTGTCTGGCATTAGCTATATAAAATATTAAATAGGGAAAGGGTTAAAAACATTAATTGAAATTTCTTAATCTAAACTACAAATAATAACCATCAAATACAGTATCAGTAATCGGATTCAAAATTTTATGCCTGTGCAAAGGAGGGCCACCGGGCTGTTGCCTGCACTATGCCACCTCAAGTACCCAGATTAAAATGCCTGTCATTGCTTAGCTTATATTATTTTCAGGCAAGGGGTGACTTAATAGATGTTTATAAACACCTCAGAAGACATTATGATGTCAAGTGTTCATACCTGGAGCTGGCAGATGCCCACCTCCTCTAGGGGTCACAACTTAAGGTTGAAGAAGCCACAAGTTCAGAAAATTTTGAGGGCATATCGGACCCGAGGCTTGAAGATGAAAAGGAGGGTTCGGACTCCCAGGGCACCCACCTGGGATCTATCCCTGGTGTTGAATATTCAAGTAAAAATTTAACTAAATCATGAAAAAATAAACATAAAGGTTAATACGTATAGATGACTAATCCACGGACGAGTTATTTGTATTACTCTGTTTATTTTCTTACTTTATTTTCATTCAGTGAATTCTGATATGGTAATCATTTCTTGTTCAAATGTTTCGTTCTGTAGATAATTAGGCGCCTAGGTGTGCACTAATTTGTCTTCCCGGCGGTAATGAGGCCACGCTCTGCTGTGGGCTTCCCTCCCCCCCAGGGTTCTTAAATGGACGTAATTTGCGAACTTAGAGGTAAAGACAACAAGACCCTTCAATTGTCCAAAGACCACAGCACTGTTCCTTTAACTAGAGACTGTCCACTCTGCAGGAATCCCTGTGTTTTCAGACCAGAAAGAAATTTGTTCAACACTTCCTCGACGTTTCCCGCCATCACAATAAATCAGTAAAAATCGCTCTGCCACCCGGGCTGCATAAGCACCAATGCGGCCGCATGATCTCACGTCCAGAAAAAGCCTCAAATTACACCATATGATAGTAAGATCTATCTGTTTAAAATATCTTTTACTTTACTTTTATCCTCTTCGCCACTGATCGGCTCGTTAGCCGCTTGGGTGATCGGTCACGTCTCTGGTTACTTTTCCTTTTCATTTATCCTCTTCACCAAAAGATTGGCTCTCTAGCCGCCCGGGCGATCGGTCACGTCTCTGTCACGCACTGTTGGCAAATACTGGGCATGCACAGGCTCCTCAATGTACCTGAACCCGCTCCAGTGTTGGTCAAGTCTTGTCTTGAAAGAGCTCGCACTCGGTGCCGTCACAACACACTCTGGTAGATTGTTCCAAGAGTTTACAACCATCACTCCAAAAAAGTTTGCCCTCTCAGTTTTCTGGACTTGTGGCTTCTTCAATCTTGAGCTGTGACCCCTTGTGGGGCGAGGGTCCGCCAGCTCCAAGTAAGGACACTCGACCGAGTAGTGCCCCCTGAGATGCTTATACACCTCAACTAGGTCACCCCTTGCCCGTCTGTAATATAAGCTAGGCAAGTTCAGGCGCTCCAATCTCTCAGGGTAGCTGAGGTGCTGAAGTGCAGGCACCAGTCTGGTGGCCCTCCTTTGAACATTTTCAACCAACTGACAGTCCCTAGCATATCTCGGGGACCAGACGGGGTGACAGTACTCCAGATGGGGTAGCACTTCACTCTTGAAGATCGTTACGAGGGACGGACCGTCTAGATATCTGAACGACCTTCTTATAAGACCCAATAATTTATTTGCCTAGTTTACCTTCTTCTCTCAATGGCCCGAGAACTTCAGCTCATTGTCAGCATACACACCTAGGTCCTTCTCGCATTCAGTCTCAACTAGTGCAGTTTCTTCATCCCGTTGGGACATATGATACGCCTCCTTACCGTTGGTACGCCCCAGGTGCATCCTCTTACACTTCGTGACGTTGAATCTTAGCAGCCATTTCTTCGACCATTCCTGGAGCCCACAGAGGTCCTTCTGCAGCTCTTCACAGTCCGCTTGGTTCTTAATTTCCCGAAATAACTTGGCGTCATCGGCAAACATTTGTTGGAGGAGTGTACAATGTCAGGCATGTCATTTATGAAACAAACAAACAACAGTGGGCCCAATACACTGCCCAGTGATACCCTACTTGTGACAGGTACGGATGACGATTTCGTGCCATTAATCACCACACACTGCTTGCGGTCATGTAGAAAGTCTTCTATCCATGCTAGGACATTTCCCCAAATTCCGTACCCTTCCAATTTGATTTTCAGCCTTTCATGGGGTACACTGTCGAAAGCCTTGGCAAAATCTAGGTAAATATTGTCGATATTACCACCCCGTTCCAGAATATGGGTCCAAATATCTGGGGGCTTAGCCAGCCGCCGCCACTTTTAAAGAAACTTCACGACGCACCCATTGTCTTTTTTTTAACCTTTGCAGACGCCTCACTTACTTCGGCAATTGAAGTACTATCAGTGCCGGATTTAGACCTGTGGAGGCCCCCCCTTCATTATAACTACCCAAGAGGGTGGGGTGGCTAGTGAAACGAGCCTAAACATCTGGGGGAATTTTGAAGCCATAATAATCCAAATGAATAAACAAATAAATAAAATATTGTAATATGTGGAGGCCCCCAGATTGTGGAGGCCCCTGGGCAGCTGCCCACTCCTGAATCCAGCCCTGAGTACTATAGCACAATCCTGCAAGGCCTCAACTGTAGTCACGGTGAACTTCGTCTAGACACTTTGTTGTTGTTTACGTTGCGTTGGGCAGACGCACCAACAAAACATCCCAATGTAACACAAACGTTTCTGTTTTGCTGGCCAACTAGCTGCGACTACGTCACTACTGCTGCCGGGAGTGTCAAGTACATTGACCTTGGGGGTACCGTACCACCGCCGACGCCACGCGTCTAATACGGGTCCAAAACTTTTCAGTGACGGGAGAATCTTTCTAATGCTGTACAGTGCTTAAATCAGGTTATCATAATTATCCCTGGATAGTAAGAAGGTTCTCTTTTTATTTAATCAAATATTACTAGAAGAACTTCTGTGGTGTTTCTTAACTTTATGGAAAATATCTGTAGATTTTTCTGGCGCCATTGCTCTCGTTTAAAAAAATGCAATGGCCTACAGCCAATTACTTTCCTTTGGACATGCTATGTGGACCAAATTTCATGTTTTTATTATCAAAAGCCCCCGTCTTAAGACAAGTTTAATACAGTTGGCACCCAGAGACCCCCAGCAAAAAGATTAAAATGAGTGACAAAGGCGACTTAAGGTACAGTACAAGCAAAACTTATTTTATCAGTAAATTGTAGAGGGCGATAATACCTTAAGTAGCAGTGTTATTTCTTACACAAGTGAGCACACTGTACTGAGTTTGATAATACTGTACAGTGTAGTTTTACTGGTGCACACTAATAATTAAATAAGTGTAATATTACTAATAGAATGTCAAAGGCAATATTCCTCCAAAGTATTGACATACCTGCAGTAATATTGGGGAAGTGACGGCTAACGAATCGATCTGTCAAAAAGGATAAAGTAAAATGTTTAATCAGGTTCGGCCAAGCCACACGTAACTGCTGTAACACTGCAGAAAACGGGGCACTCATATGGGTAACTACGTCTCCCGAAAACATTGCACTTTGTTATAATGAGGATCGTGAATACGTAAAATGTTAACAATTTCTTACTTCGGTGACCACATTTACACAATTGATATCAAGTTCCTCCAAGCGAAATGTTTACATCTTCGTAAAGAAAAGTATTCTCGACTCAATTTCTCTACCACAACACTGGCTTTGTCACTTTCACATGATCATCCGATGACTTCCAAACTTCCAGAACTCGCTAAGATTCATAAGCGAACCTTAAGATATATATTCAGACAATAGTATTTCTGTTACGTTACACTTGTTAATAATTACAAACTTTCAACACTCATTACACGCAGCACACGCCACCACGCACCTAATCTTACAGACGTCGCCTGAATGACTGGGTGTTGTCTGACGTCTCGCTCGGGCCCAGTCGGTCTGCTGCCAAAACCCTCGTCACGTGTGCGCTGCTGCCACATTGAGTAACATAACATATTCAATCACAGTATATAATGTTAACTAGTTGGTTTTATCACAATTGTACAGGATCTTTTAAACATCATATACAAGTTAATTCACTGGAAGTGGTATGTTATACTTTATCGTAGCTTGTGTAATAGTATATATGGCATATAGTGATGCCACCACAGACAGATTACTTGTTCAAAACAGGAAATGCCCTGTATGTGGCCTCCTCTGAGTCTGCAGTCTCTCACGTCTTTGATTTTCAAGCTTGGCAAAGTATAATGTGTCAGATCAGTTTTATTATTCTCATTATTTTTTTTAGTACGTAGTATTAATGGTAGTGGAGGTGGTGGTAATACTAGTAGTAGTGGTAATAATAAGTAGTAGTAGTAGTAGAATACTTGCCTCGGAAGCGAGTAGGCTTGGGTTCGATCCTGGGCAGAGGGAAATTACAGACAAGTTTCCTTACGTCATTTGTCTTCCCAGCAATAAATGGGGATGGTCTGCATCCCTTCGCGGGGTAATGAGTTAAATTCAAACTGTTCAAGTTCTTTGCTAAAGTTCTTTATAGATATTCTGTTAAACAAAAAATTACCTCAGTTCTTTCCAAGCAAGGTTTTTCTCCGTGATGTTAAAATATAACGAAATAAATAAAGTTGGTGGTCAACGCGAAGGGCAGATTAGATAGTAACGTAGAATTAATGATAAGTCTTGCCCACTTGGCCTTATCAGTGTTTACTGACACACTACAGGCGCTGGGCCTGTCCATCATAGATACATAATTTAACATGGGCTTTCATCCTCACGGTATTGTTTGTGAGAGACTATAAGTCTATACTTTAATGGTGCAGGGGGAAACAGGAACGACTCAGGCTCTAGCTGGCTGGCTGATTTACACCCTCCTCCTCCTCAACCTCCCAACACCCTCCTCCTCCTCAACCTCCCAACACCCTCCTCCTCCTCAACCTCCCAACACCCTCCTCCTCCTCAACCTCCCAACACCCTCCTCCTCCTCAACCTCCCAACACCCTCCTCCTCAACCTCCCAACACCCTCCTCCTCCTCCTCCTTCAACACACCACGGCAATAACTAGTTTACATAAGCACTGTTGTATCACATTCTCATTTCCTCTCCTGTCTCCGTTAACTACGATTTTTTTCCTTTCAATGTCAGTTTTTCCCTCTTCTTATGACCGAACTTTGTGTAAGATACAGGTTCAAGTTGTTAAAGACATGTCCTTATAACTCATTAAGATGAGGTAAATTAACTTTTCATTGAGTATTGTACCTGTAGGTGCTGGGGTTCCCATACAACTTGATCTTCTAGAACAGGAAAGACACTGAGAAGATCAAAAGGTCATATTCAACACAGTTCCCTGAATATATGTTGTGAAACCTCTCCACCTTCGGCTAATTCCACGCGTCGAGTAATACTAAACACGTGGAGGCAGGCGCAGTGTTCCAGACTTACTGGTGTAAGCAAAGGAATACAGTATAATTACAATCGATTTTCATTTTCTCTACTTTCGATTTAACATAAAAATCGCGATACACCAAATGTTCACATTCAATAAAACGTATTGGTATATTAACAATGAGACTAAAATATTTTATCGGCGAATTGATATCTAGCGTCATGGTAGCCGCCCGACGGGTGACTCACAACTGACTCCCCATCACTCATAAAATATTCATAGGACACTACTTGATGATAGTCAGTCAGTATACACCTACACGGTGACCTTCGTTCCTCACATATATGAGTGAAACTGTTGCTACCTTGTGCATACAATACGTTATAATGTAAGCTTATGGACATTTAAAGGCATTAATTTCTCAGATTATTATAATCTGTGATATGAACATCAGTGTAAATGAGATTATTGTCTATGGCTGGCAGGGGTTAGTAACGAGCCAGGAAATTAACAATATTTCTTCTGTAGTAGTTCCCATGATGTAAAATTGAATTTCTTGAGGTTTTCCGATAGATCTTATTACACGAGTCCTCATTTTGGTAACTCCGTTGTGATGTGTAACTTAACATTTACGAGAATACTTCAGATCGTTGTTTTAGAATATCTTGAGTCTTGACTGATGCTTCTGAGGATCAGTCACGTCACGTCCTGTACCGTGAGGTGGACTAGTGTGAGAAGGCAGCAGCAACACATAAGCGGAGTCTGGCAAGTAACAGGAGAGAGACATGAAGACATTACTGTCAACCCAAACTGTTAACACCGATAACAAGAATGATTATCTGAGACAGAAAAAGTGGACATTTTCCACTATTGAATGGGTGGCGTATAGCACTCTTTAATTTTAACCCACCACAAATTGGAGTCGCGTAAATACGCCAAGCGCATCGACAAGCTGGGTGGCAAGCAAGCAAGCAGGCAAGTTGGGGTGGTGAGGGGGGTGGCGCATCGATCCTGGGCCTTGTCCCCCCAGCCTCCCCCCATCCCTCCCAACCCCCGAAATTTTCTTTATTTTGTGCCCATCCCAACCCTCCGCCGATATATTATCTGTACTTCTCCAAACCTTCGTACCAAATCTTAAACGTTCTACCTACGTCACTCTCCACCTGTTTTATAGACATTTCTAAATTACGAATGTGTTTTTCCACCTCATCAATCTTGTGTATTCTTCCCCCACGTCAACAGTACCTCACTGTCTTATACACCATACCTGTTCTTCTCCCGAGTCTTTCTCCAGTTTCCACCACATACCCCATGACCACATAGATCATGCCTCATGGCCACACAACATACCTCATGACCATAAATATTCACAATTACACAGCAGCATATTATAAAACCATATAACAATATACTCCATGTCCACATACTAACATACATCATAACACCACTACAGTACATTTATAACCACATACTAACATATTTCATTACAACATAAAACATTTCGCGACCACATGACGACATACTTCATGGCCACATACCTTAACACAACATACCACATGGCCACACACCTGAATACCTCATGGCTACATACCTGTTCATTGTTCAGTTATTGCAGGTGGAGGTGATGAGGGTGGCAGCAGGAGTGAACAGAACCGCAGTGTGTTAAGTGAATGACTAAGTGATCAGGGAGGAGGTGAATGATCAGGGGGAGGAGGTGAATGATCAGGGAGGAGGTGAATGATCAGGGAGGAGGTGAATGATCAGAGGGAGGAGGTGAATGATCAGGGAGGAGGTGAATGTTCAGCTGGAGGAGGTGAATGATCAGGGGGAGGGAGGTGAATGATCAGGGGAGGAGGTGAATGATCAGGGAGGAGGTGAATGATCAGCTGGAGGTGAATGATCAGGGAGGGTGAATGATCTGAATGATCAGGGGTGAATGATCAGGAGGTGAATGATCAGAGGAATGATCAGGTGAATGATCAGTGAATGATCAGGAGGTGAATGATCAGGTGACTGAATGATCAGGGGAGGAGGTGAATGATCAGGGAGGAGGTGAATGATCAGCTGGAGGAGGTGAATGATCAGGGAGGAGGTGAATGATCAGCTGGAGGAGGTGAATGATCAGGGAGGAGGTGAACACAGGTGACGGTGACTAAGCAAATATGGAAGGGTGATTGAACATCTCTAGGTGTAAATGAACAGCTGTAGGGTGGAGTGAGTATAGGGGTGAATCACTGAAGTGAGTGTGACCTGCAACGTGTGAACTGTGACGTCAGAACAAATAGGGATGAAGGATCACGTGTTTGGACGATGACGCAAGAGTGACGTTCAGAACACGTGTGAGGAGGCCACCAAGACGTTGCGTCAGTTCATGGCATCGTGTGAGATAGCGCCAGGGAGTCCCTCATGACCCGGGCAACAGGGGTACATAAGCCACGCTGCCGGACGTGTATGCGTGCGTGTGTGTACATGTGTATGTGTGTGGCGGTGGTGGAACACGAGGAGGCAGGATATACACAGCTAGTAGAAGGAGGTGAGTGGGTGGTTTGGAGGTAGGTCATGAGGATAGGTAAGAGGTTAGGTCACCTAGGAAGCGAAGGTATATGCACTTGTGTAGCATGTGCCACTGACCCTCGGGCGTAAAGACCCGTTGACATATCTACAAACTCTGGAAGAAATTGTTTATGTTT